TTACAGAAAACTTATCATTTTATACTGTGATTTTATTGTAATTTATTTTGCAAGTTCAACTGGGTCAATGTTGTTTAAAAAATATTTATTTATTCTTTTTAAGTAGGCTCCACACCCAATGTGGGATTAGAACTCGTGACCCTGAGATCAAGAATCGCATGCTCTACTGACTGAGCCAGCCAGGCATCCTCTGGTTGACCGTTTTAACTGCTTGTTTTTTCAGGGGGAGGGGAGAGTGGTTTCCCTAGTACTGGTTTGTGCTATTATCTATAGAAATACAGATACGTATTTAAGGTGAGGACATGATTACAGACAAAAACATCAGGTGTGTTGCTACTTGTGTGCTTCAGTTTCATTAGACTTTAAGCTTTTAAACACTAGCTGCTAATAGTTTGGATGATTATAACTCTTGGCTTAAGTTTGTGTCAGTGATGATGAAGAAATTGTTGGATTGGGGAGGAACAAATAAATAAAATTAGGGAACACTTCTGTCGCTTTCTTTTCTGGCTACCCAATAGCTTTTGCTTCTTGTTAAGACTGGGGATGACTCATTCATTCATTTATTTATTCATTCATTTGTTCAACAAATATTTACTGACTATCTTCAAAATACAAGGCTAGGGGAATACACAGATGAATAAAGATGTGGATCTGGCCCAAGAAGGAAGAACAGGCAGTCTAGTATAAGATAGGCATTCCAAGCATGAAGAGCAAGAAATAAAATGTTTCATGAAAGGGGAAACAAAAAGAGCTGTGGGAGTTAAAAGGAAGGAAATGATCTTTTCCATTTAGGCTGATCCACTAGAAGTTTTTAGAAGAGGTGAGACTGGAAATGGGCCTCAAGAGTGAATGATGTGGACCCAATTGAGAAAGGATGTGCTAAGCAGATGGGACATTATGAGTAAACACAGATGACAGATCAAATAATTCAGTCTGGTTTCAGAACAGGTTATTTAATGGAAAGTTATTATTGTGATGCTGATTAATTTAGACTTTATTCCAAGGTCAGGGATTGGTAAACCATGGTCTAGCCTACTTCTTGTTTTTAGAAATAGTTTTATTGGAACACAGCTATGTCAGTTGCTTCTGGCTGCCCTTGCATCACAACAGCAGAATTGGGTCCTTGCGAGGGAGACCATATTGCCCTCAAAGCCGAAAGTATTTTCTGTAAAAGACTAGATAGTAAATATTTGTAGAGTCCTGCTCTAGACCTAGTTGAGAACCACTGATCCAGTCTGGGAACTAGAATGGTTTCCAGAGGAGTTTATATTAGTCAGTCCTTATCAGAAGTGGGGTGGAGGTAGGTAATGTGGGGGCTTGTAGGATTTTTGAATTAATCTTGTCCAGTGTCTTCTAGAAAAAGTGGTGAGGATTTGAATGCTAAATAGATTAAGTAGATGGAATCAATAGGATTTGGTGAAATATTTGATGAGAGATGCTGTAGAAAAAAGGAAGGAGGCAAGGCTGGAAGAAAGATTTTCAACTTGCGTGACTGGGTGGTTGATGGTGCCACAGAAACCGGGAACACAGAAGGACAAACACTTGTAAAATTTGAATGACCTGTTGGAGATAGAACGCTGACATGTCTGTTAGAGAACTCAGTGTGACCACATAAGGTGGGACCTTATGCTTTTTGCAGGACCAGGAATATTTACCAGAGTTAACTATGGAAAATTTTATTTTATTCTTCATATTTAAATGGACCAAACTCCTATGAGAATTATTTTTGTGACCGTTGTGCATTTTTTAAAAATTTGATTATTCAGATTGTTGTGGCCAAAGTAATTTTAAGTAGAAAAACTTTCTCCCCTTTGAAAAGTTTTAAATCAATTTAGAGAACTTTTCTAAAGTACTTAAACACAGAAATGACAATGCCGCTAAAATACGATGGGAAAGTTTTAGCAACCTTAAATTTTTATTCAGTCAAATTCTTACTTAAATTATGTGAACATAATTTTTGCCTTTACATTTTGCTTTAAAATAATTGGTTTTTTTGTTATAAAGGTAATGCATACTTATAAACTACTAAGTCATGAAAGTAGAAGTTGCTACAAATCCTCCTTTTCAAGCTACTGCCTTTTGCTAATAGTTTGAGACATACAGCATAGATACTGTACCCCTTCACTAGGGTTATAAAGACAGAAAATATTCACTTTCCAAATGTGCATTTATACCGCTGAAGACACAATGCTACCTGCAAAATTTCTGAACCAGTTGGCCTCAAGTCTCCAATCATGTGATTCTCTGACATAATATATAGCCCTTTTTTCCATGTCCAGACAATGTATTGGGGTTCTTCTGCAACTTGCAGGGCAATCTCTGTCTCAGAAGGTTTGATTTATTTTCCTTGCCTCTTATGGCTCAATTACCCATGACACTGGTCTACTTTCCTAATCTTTAATGTTAAAAAGAATATATCAACAACTAGTAGTCTTAAGGAAATTACCCCTGTTAGAAAAGAGGATGGATTATCTTAGTAGGCAGAAGTCTAAAGTGGTCATACTGAGGAGTTAAGTAGTACTTGTTTATAAGAAAAAGAAGAAATTGATATATTTTTATAAATATTATTTTGTGTAGTCAGGTTAATTCCATTTTTTAAATCAACGGGGAAAAATTAGTTTGAGGTTTTAGTCAGAACACATTTTTTCTTTTTTTTTTTTAATAGAGACTGTTTTTTTTTTTTTTTTTTTTTTAGATTTTATTTATTTATTTGAGACAGAGAGAATGAGAGACAGAGAGCATGAGAGGGAGGAGGGTCAGAGGGAGAAGCAGACTCCCTGCCGAGCAGGGAGCCCGATGCGGGACTCAATCCCGGGACTCCAGGATCATGACCTGAGCCGAAGGCAGTCGCTTAACCAACTGAGCCACCCAGGCGCCCTGGAACACATTTTTTCTGATTTAGAATTTATCTTAACACATATGTGTATATAAAAATAAAAATTATTTTAAACTACAGATTGGTATAAACTTAAAAGTGAGTTTTCCTCCTGCCTCTCCCATTACTGCAGTCTCTCTCTTCTGGTAACAATAATGTTAATTTTTAGCTTCATTGGGTATTTATAATGTGCCATGTATTTTTTCTTAATTTTTAATTTTTTTCAATAACTTGGTAAGTTCTCCCCTCCCCCATTTTCTACATAAAGAAACTGAAACATAAAGAGTTTAAGTAACTGGTTTAAGGTTACTCAGATAGCTCATGGCAGAACTGAAATTAAAAACCCAACTAGCAGACTTTAAATTGTATGTCCTGAGTCTCTTTATGGTTATGTTATTAATAGTATTAACAGAAGCTTGCCAATTGATTCTGGAAGAAAGAAAAAGCTATGTACCAAAATGTTGTATATATAGATATGTTTTAATTTTGAGGTAATATTTTCTATAACTGAAGAAAAAACAAATCATAAAATTTAAATCCTCTAGAACAATATAAAATGAAATAGTCTGTCTCTCTGATCCCAACCTTATTTTTACTTTTTAAAAAAAATTGGCTGGATACAATTACTAAATTTAGTTGCACATTAGTAATATTTTAACTCTCTTAGTTTGGCTTTAAGATTCAGAAGTGGAGTATATGGTGAGGGTGTGTATATGTCAAGTATTTTTTACTTGGGAGGTGTAGTTCACCATGAAAGGGAAAGAGAGGGAAGGAGCAGAGGGCAAGCAACTTCTTTTTAAAGTACAGGACCTGGAGATTAGAGAAGCACACCGGTCCCACTCACATTCTACTGGACAGACTTAATCATGTGGCCACATCTAGCTTCAGAGTAGTCTTTAGCAGGATGGCCATGTGCCCGGTTAACACAGGGGGATTCCATTATTCAAATAAAGGCTCGGGAATGTATATGGAGGCTCAGTTAGCATCTCTTCCACAAGAATAAACTTGCACTATTCTTGCTAAAGTAATTTTTACAACTTCGTGTGGTTTTTACTTTTATAAAGATGAGCAATAGTGTGTTTTATTTTGATAAAATAATTCATATATAGAAAGTTATTAAATCTTGCCTGATGCAGTACTATTCTCCTGGCATATTAACAAGCTCTTTGAGAGCAAGTGTGGCTGGGAAAGGAATGTGGGACACCTCCTTACTCCTCCACTCACATATCCCAGCAGTGCATCTGGACTATCGGCTGTTAGGAAGACTTGGTGCTGAATTTGTGAACATTAGTTTATTCTTATTGTTTGCTACCTGGGATGTTAGGTCAATAAATTATCGTCTTTAGAAACTTTTGGACTTGAGGTACTCTGATGTGAAAAAAAAAAAGGATGCAAAACAATTTGTGTTTGTAACAAGAATAAAGAATTTATTGCAGAGTGGAAGCATATCAGGTAGTGGATTTTACACTTCCTATTTGGCTAAGTCATTGTCATTCTGTGAATGAACAATGAGCAATAATGTCTCCAGAAAAATCAGTGAAACCATAGACATTATAGTGTCAACTTTTAGACTTTTTTTCCCAAATTTATTGAGCTTTAAAAAGATGCACTTGTCTAAACACTTTTATTTTTAAGATTTTAGGCTAAACAATGATTCAAATATAAATTTATATAGGTGACATTTAGTAGTCAAACACATTTTGTCAAAGATAATGAAATCTTCAGAAATTTTAATGGATGGGTACAAATTACATTGAAACATTAGGCAGTTATAATGGCAGCTTCTGTCAATGACTATGTCTTTATTATTAAGTTATATAGTGAGTTATTGACTTTTTAACCTTTCAACACTGCTTTAGCATTTTGATTTGGGGGGATACTAAGACTAGTACTAAAAAAGTTATCTTTATTTGGACTTCATTTGCCAATATAATGTAAATATGAATAATTTAGTACATTCTATATAATTTAATGAGGGAAAATTGTTTGGAGTATTCTGTAAATCATTGGTATTAATCTTAGGTTGATGCTGAATTCTAACTTTATTAGTGACTATTTCTTGGTTTATGTGCCTAAATTCTGACAAGTGTATTTTAAAACTTCTTTTTCCCCGCTCTTTAAACAGCTTTAATGTCATATTTGCTGGTGGTCCAGAAGAAGTTCTAAAAAAGTTTCAAAAGTCAAACCACAAAGTGGTGTTTGCAGCAGATGGAATTCTGTGGCCAGATAAAAGACTAGCAGACAAGTATCCCATTGTGCACATTGGGAAACGCTACCTGAATTCAGGAGGTAAGATACTGGCAGAGGAGTTTAATGCTAGTCACAGAAAATTATAAAGATTGATGAAACAACCTTTTTTTTGGTATATGTAACTATAGACATGAAGCTTTAAATAACCATTATCATCTTATTACTACGAAAAAATTATATCAGTTTAGAATCCATGGTGGGTTTTGTAGTTGACAAAAGATTTTCCACATGTCATATCATATGATGCTCCTAACAAAACTAAGTGGTGTAAATATTATTTCCAGATTATAAGTGGAAAATCCATGTTCCCCCAATTTAAGTGACTTTTCGAGTCTTCTGACTATAGTTTCATTGAGAATTTTCTGGCTCTAGGATAATGGGGTTAGTAAGTTCCCTTACTTAGGGGGAACTAATTATGTAGCTATAAAAATAAGCATTACTTAATTTTATGTATATTTTAAATATATCAGAGTAAATGAGTGATTTGTCTTGAAATCACTAGTCAAAAAGCTTGGCACTGAGTGGGTATAAAGTGCTGCATTAGTTTTAATAATGGATTAAAGGAACAAATTATCACATTTCCCCTCTCCAAAAAATAAAATAAAACTTGACTTTGGACATTATTATGACTCCAAAATGTTTTCCTTAGACTGGATTAATGTAAACGTATGACCAGCAGATATAACCAAATAGGATGGGGGACATGTTAGAAAAACAATTTGGGTGGAAATTGCAAGCCACATTGGGAAAACAAATTTTGGGGGGTGATTTGCATGTATATAACTGATACTATTCAGTCTAGTTCAAGTAAGTACTACTTGAGGTAACAGCACTTTTGGATTCTAGGCTCTGCTCAAGTCACTTATAAAAATGAAACCTTTAGCAAGTAATATAATTTCTCTGAGGTGCCTCAATTCCAGCTCTATTTACCTGCAATATATTTTAGCAACCCATTCCTGTCATTGTACCTTGGAGTTTTGTCAGCACATTATAAATACTGCACTTCTGAAACCTTAAATTCCAGTTTGTATTGCCTGGTTTCAGCTCACTTTTTCTCTCCATCTCAAGATAACCACAGTTTATCATTTGGGAGATCTCTTGACCATTTTATTTTTCTCCCAATCTATCTACCACCTTTGGATTTTACTTCCACATTCAAGTCAGAACCTAGGTTTTCTCAGATTGGTCACTCTGACCTCATCACCTTAGCTTTCTTTTCCTCTTACATTTACAGTTTATGCGCTGATGAAGCTTCTCCTAAGATTGTTTCCCACTCTTGACGTCTCTGTCTGAACCCTCATTTATGGATTGGTGCAACTTCTACTTCCAAACTGTCAGGTTCTCAATAACACATGACTAGCTTTTAACTTATCTGAAGTCCTAGATAGTTTAAAAACCATTTAGCTATGGACCTCTGGGAGAAGTTTTATTTTACATTTATTAATTTTCCTAAACATGACATATGTAGTAAAATGTCATATGTAAATTCATCTAGATACTGATATATCTATTCAGGAATCTAAATTTCAATCAGATGCACAGTGCTGTGGAAACAGCGGAAGACTAGCAAGTGAGTGCCTTTGTGAGCTAGTTTAATTAAGGAAAAGGTGCTTTTAAGTGGGAAAGAGATCATATAAGGACATCAAAACATGATCTTTGCTTTCTGTAGTCATAGTAATTAAAGTGATGCTAGGAAATCTAAATATATTCAATAAAGGTTTATATAATTTCATGAATGGTATATTGACAGTTATTTAAGGGACAAGAGTTTTGTTTATGATTATATCATTTAGTTTAAAAAAATTTATCATTAGAAAACATGTTTCCTAATCAGGAAAATTTCAGAATATTATAAACTTTATTAGTTTGAAATAATATGGCAGTTTAATAAAAAATATAAATCATATGAAATAGATCTCACATACTTTGAAATAGATAAAATTTCTTTTCATTTTTGAAATAGATTTATAAAAAGGATAAGAAAACATAATTTTTGAAAAACAGAAATATAAGCCATTGGAAAATGTCATGTGTCACTATTTGGACATACTTTTCATCACCGTAGATGGGTCATAGGAATTAAAAATGCGCTATTTTTCAGTGTTTTAGGATTTTTTAATTTGATGAAAATAACAAAAATGAGCAACCAGTGATTGGTTTAAGTATGTTTTCATTTTGTCTTGTTTCTTCTAGGTAACTGTATTATTCCTGGACTTATTTCTTTTCATTCTTTTATTCCTACGAGGAAATTTTAATTTTGAGGGTAAAAAATTAGGTTTTCTTTCAATTCACAGGAGTAACATTGGTCCTTTTCTAAAGTATTGCATGTCAGTGAAACATAGCAGCTTGCCTGCATTTCTGAAATGCAGAGGAAGATTGAAAAAGGGGGAAAATGATCCTGTTGTCTGTGTCTTTTATAGACAGCTGTTATTGGCAAATTTAATGCTTATGCTCGAAGGCCAAGGAGAACAATCCAATTTTAGACTTCCTTTCTCCAGACTGTGACAGACAAAATCTGGCCAGAAAATGGTTTAACAGGTACAATAATGACTAGTTCAAGGAAAGGAAAAATTCCCAAAATGTCCTAGATATAGAATTTCTTTGAGATGTTTGCAGTCAGTGACATTTCCAACATTCCTTTGATTTTGTTAGCATCACCGGCACTGACATTAAAACCACTGTAGTAGAGATTTTTTTTTTCCCCCAGAAACAGTGAATCCTCTCCAAAGGATCCAAGAAAGAGCATTTTAGAAGGTCAGGAAGAAAATTCTTCTGTCTTACTCTGTTCTTTTCCTAGTAACTTTTTCCCTTAGGAGCCTTGGCAAACATTATTCCCTCTCTTGTGTCGATTAATTTGGGGAATGTGTTTATTCAAAAAGAGTCTCTGATTTGTAGTTGGTGGTAAAAACTCACTCTATTATAGTTTATATATAAAACAAAGGATGCTCGGGTGCCTGGGTGGCTCAGTTGGTTAAGTGACTGCCTTTGGCTCAGGTCATGATCCCGGAGTCCTGGGATCGAGTCCCACATGGGGCTCCCGGCTCAGCGGGGAGCCTGCTTCTCCCTCTGACCCTATCCCCTCTCATGCTGTTTCTCTCTCTCTCTCTCAAATAAATACATACATAAAATCTTAAAAAAAAAAAAAAAAAAAAGGATTCTCAATAACATTTCTTTCATGGTGAGCTGTAAAATTCCAACCTAAGGATTAGGCCTAATGGTTTTACAACTCTGTGCAACTGGTCAGTGAAATTAATAGATACACGTTTTGGTCTTTGACTACTAAATTCTCTAATCTCTATTATATTGCAGGATTTATTGGTTATGCTCCGTATATCAACCAGATAGTTCAACAGTGGAATCTCCAGGATAATGATGATGATCAGCTATTTTACACCAAAATTTACATTGATCCACTGAAGAGGGTATGGAATAGCTCCCATTTTCAATATAACCTCCTTGTTTAAGATGGCTACTGGAGCTCCAGCCATTGCATCCATATTCTAGGCAGTTAACAGCAGAATAGTAAATAAAGGGCCATCTCAGTTGAATCAACTCTCTTTAACCTTTTTAGAAAAAAAAAATTCTCTTACTTTTCTTTGACCAGCACATATTTATGTGGCTATTCACAATATGGAAAGTAAGTGTTGGCCTTTATTTCAAGCAGAAACATCCTACTGAAAATCTGAGTTCTATTATTAAGGAGGGGATGTAGGGAACAATAGCTGTGTTATCGGCCCTTGAGAGAACATTCCTGAGATTGATTTAAATGAAACTTGGGAGAAAAGTAGAACCAAAGTTCCCTAATTTGAGAATATTTTTAGTATATTTACATAATATAAGTTAATGTTTCATAAATTCACTGTATGTAACTGATATAGTTTAGAACTGATATAGTTCTAAAATGTACTGAATTGTATAATTTGTGGGTACTATTATTGGAAACAAGTTTTTTAAAGTGTATTTTACGGTGAGTTTGCAACTGTAACTTTCTATTCCTTAGATAAATATTTCAGTCATCTAAATATTTTCATTAGACACTTAATACTGAAGAAACTTTATTCTTAAAATGTTTTTCTTCATCTCCATTTCTTGCTTTCCCTCTTATGTGCCTGACAGAGCAAACCTGAGGACTTGCTCTTTCATCTGGGAGGAGAAACCCTCTGTTGGCATGAGTGCTAGTGCATGCAGCCTCATGCTTGTCTTTCTCAGTGTAATTCAACTGTGAATGTACTTTGAGTCATATTTAGTTGTCTCTGCTTCAGGATGCATTCTCTGAACTCTCACTGCTGAGTTCATAATATTTTTAGTTATATAAATCCTGTTTAAGATTCTTTCAAGACTCTGGACTCTGGGAAACAAACTGAGGGTTGCAGAGGGGAGGGGGTTAGGATAGGGTAACCTAACCGGGTGATGGGTATTAAGGAGGGCATGTGTTGTGATGAGCACTGGGTGTTATATGCAATTAATAAATCGTTGAACACTATGTCAGAAACTAATATATTGGCTAATTGAACTTAATAATAATAATAAAAAGATTCTCTGGAAGGCTAAGATTTTATCTGGTTAACATGTGTCCTAGTCTGTTTGGTTTGTCATAACAAAATACCATAGACCGGTTGGCTTAAACAATAGAAATGCATTTCTCACAGTTCTGGAGGCTGCAAGTCCTAGATCAGGGCGCCAGCATGGTTAGTTTCTGGTGAAGACTCTCTTCCTGGCTTGTAGGTGACAGCCACCTTCTTGCTGTATCGTCTCATGCTGAAGAGAGAGAGACACAGAGACACAAAGACACACACACACATACACACAGAGCAAGAGAGTATGTGTACAAACTCTCTGGTGTCTCTTCTTATATGGGCATTAATTCTGTCATGAGGACATCTCATGACCTCAGTTTAACCCTAATTACTCCCCAAAGGCCCTGTCTCCTAATACTATCACATTGTGGGTTAGAGCTTCATATGAATTTTGAGGGGACACAAACATTCGGTCTCTAACAATATACAAAGTCAATTTTAAGAGTATTATTATACAGAGAAATGTAGCTGAAAAACTGGTGCATTGAGAATCATGAAGTTTGTAAAGCAGATTAATCTTTATGGTTATGTTAATTACATATCTATTGTAGCAGTCGGATTGGGGATTATGCTGTAATAATAACCCAAACCACAAGAGCTTAACACAACACAGGTCGGTTTCTCCTGCTACATGTCCATTGTAGGTCAGCAGAGGGTTTCTGCTTACTGTCCTCACCTGGGACCCTGGCTGATGGAGCAGCCATCTTAGTTCATGTGCCAGAGAGAGAGCACACCTAGCATCTCAAACTGGAAGCTCCATGCTCCAGGTTAGAAGTGAAATAATTTCACCTCTGCTAAAAATTCACTGGTCAGAATTAGTCATAAGGTAGGGAAGTGGAAATATTTGGAGAATAGCATGAATACTTTGCCATTCCCTTTATCCTTTAATTCAAGCAACTATAAAATTACAGTCTTTCTGTCTTTCTGAGGAATATTGCTGGAATAATTTACAAATAGGATCTTTAAATTCTGCAAAAGAATAAACTATATTAACGTGATAATGTTGTTTGCATATTGTCATTTTCAATGGTATCTGTATTCTCATTTTTAGGAAGCTATTAACATCACATTGGATCACAAATGCAAAATTTTCCAGACTTTAAATGGAGCTGTAGGTATGCTTCCTAAATACTGAATTGCTCATGTATACAAATGAACACCTGTGTTCTCAACTGTCTGTCCTTTATCATATCAATTTGGGGCTATGATTAAGGTTTAGTGTACAGATATTACAACTTTTAAAAAATAACGGACTTGAGCTTAGCTTGATATAGTGAAACGCATTTACTTAAAATCATGCCCTAAGACTAGTGCAAAAAAAGATAAGCTTTTAGCTTTAGGTAATTTAGAATTTAGTGTCTCACTATCTGGAGACTAGATGTATTTTTAAATTACCTATACCTTATTATTACACATTTTTCAGTATAAGTTCTTTATATTGTGAATTACTCAGGAGTATGAGTATTAGACTGCTTTACCTAGCTGAAGATAAACTGGTAACCAGGCACATATACTGTGGAATGTGTGTGTGTGTATGTGTGTCTGTGTTTTGTGTGCATATGCATGTATGCCTTTATGCTTTTTCCTAGTTAGACATATGTCTTGGAAAAAATATACTAATACATCAATTAATTAATATATTAAAAATAAAAAGACATTAATTCATTAATGCATTAATACCTTAAACATTAAAAATACATTGCAATTCAGTCCAACTTTTCAAGGCAGTTCATACCTTAAAAATTTCTCAGGATGAAAGCATTTAGTTTGGAGTGCTTAGGAAATGCAAAGAAAGGAACTGGAAAACAACAACAAAAACACCCAGCTGTTTCTGCTCCCACTTGATTTGTGTATTCCTGGAATTGGCATTAGGCCTGATTTTCAAGAACTGGCAATGCTCTCAATGATAGCCAATGGTGGAGACCTTGCTTATGTCTGGCAGTGTTCTATTCACCATATTTATATTGTTATTATCATCATAATAACTTTGAAAGGCAAAGATCCCATTTCACAGTTGAATAAATTCAGACAATAATTTAATTCATCCTGGATCACATTACTATCAAGAGTCCTTGGAGGCAGGTTTGCAAAGATGCTTTCCTTCTGCTAGACACCTCAGTGGATTAGCACCTCAGTTCGCTGGTGCCAGGTTGGAGTGACTGAGGTGCTCTCTGATGTAGCGTAGGCAAAATTTGTAAAAGTGTTGTGGCACGTGGAATGGCATTTGTGGGAAATTTTATAATAACCAGAAGATATATATAAATGTACACATATATGTGTGTATATGAATACACACACATTTTAAATTACTAAAATCTGTTTTTTTTTCTTTTTAACCCAGATGAAGTTGTTTTGAAATTTGAAAATGGCAAAGCCAGAGCTAAGAATGTATTTTATGAAACATTACCAGTGGCAGTTAATGGAAATGGACCCACCAAGGTGAGTCACAGTGACTTTTCCCTGTTTCTTTATTTCTTGGAAATAGACTCTAGAGCAATATGTAGAATATCTTCTTCTCTTCCTCCTCCTTTACCCCCATCCCTCCCCTCCTTCACCTTCTCCTCCTCCTTTCTTTTTTAGTGTCTTTGAGAGGCTCTATTTTGGTGCTAGCAATCTACTGGCTTCATCTTTTACACTGTAGATTAAGTGATTTCTTTCAGATTCACCAAACTAATGATGTTTCCTAAGCAAAGCGATACCTTTGCATTCTGTTGGTAACACATTTCACTTTAGCGTTTAATAATAACAGCGAATGTGAGAATGAGCCATATTTCCCTCATACAGGGTATCCTATCTGAATAGGAAATGTGCAGGTCTGTAAGTCACCATTTTCTCACTTAAAAGCTCTGTTGAGATTGAGATGTAACTATATGGCTGGAAGCTTCTTCTTGCACTTATCTTTTTTTTTTAGATTTGATGTTTAATTTTTTATTTTTTAAATTAACATATAATGTATTATTTGTTTCAGGGGTACATGTCTGTGATTCATCAGTCTTACACAATTAAGAGCGTTCACCATAGTACATACCCTCCCCAATGTCCGTCACCCAGCCACCCCATCCCTCCCACCCCCTTCCACTCCAGCAACCCTCAGTTTGTTTCCTCAGATTGAGTCTCTTATGGTTTGTCTCCCTCTCTGCTTTCATCTTGTTTCATTTTTCCCTCCCTTCCCCTATGATCCTCTGTCTTGTTTCTCAAATTCCTCATATCAGTGAGATCTTATGATAATTGTCTTTCTTCTTGCACTTATCTTATATGAAGGTTGCTGGGTTATAATTGACAAAGACTTAATGTGACTAATGAAATTTTGGATGCTTTTCAAATATATATAATTGAGCTTGCTGAAAATGTTATTGAGTGAAAAATTCATAGATAAGTTTGATACCTATCTATCTTGTGAAAACTGTGCTTACAGCAGTGTTCTGAGATACCGAGATGCCTAGTTTACTCATAAGTACCTAGAAAAGAGATGAACAGATCTGCACTGTGGGAAGGGAGGGTGGGGAGATGTCACCTGCTGTCTCAGAGGATTGAATAGTCTGGAATTCCAATAAAAGCTATATGGATGGGAAGAAATGCAAGGGGAAGCCGATACTGGCAGCTTTTCCAACATCAAATTGGAAGCAGTAGATTCCTCTTCTCCTCTCGTTAATCTTTCCACCTTGCTTTTTGTCCCCTTCCGGCCCTCCTACGAAGCCATCTTGCTGGGTGCATTACTTTCTATATCTTGGATTAGTTTTCCCTGCTCTATTCTCTCCTACTCATCAGCATTTTAAAGACCCTCTGCTCTTTCCCATCTTAAAACAAAACTGAGCCAGAACAAACTAAAACATCCTCCTCAATCCCCTTGCCTTCCAGCCTGCCTGTCTTCCTCCTCCACCACCCTTCACAGCTACACTCTTTAAAGTAGAGACAACTTACTGCCCCCTCAGTCCCTCTTCCCACCACACCAGGAAATGCTCCTGCTGACGTGTGTTGTGACATCCTCTTCAGTCCTGATTTTTACTTTACCCAAAGATAACATTTGACTATGTTGATCCCACGTGGTCCTCTTTCCCTTTGCACAATTCTGTGCTGGTTTGTCTATTAATTATCTGGCCTCTTAAACCTCTCTCATTTTCTTTTTATTTTTTAAATATGCATTTAAAAAATCTAACACATTGTGTGCGGGGAGTGGCTCAGGAGTGGTTGGGGGCAATCCCTTTATTTAGTTTAGTTTCAGGTAAGCGTTCCACAGGTATCTATCTGAGACACCTTCCTTTTCTCTTCACAAATTCTTAGTTAATTTGCTTCATTCCTACCTTAATGTTGATGATTTCCAAATCCTTACTCTAGCTCCTGTATCTTTCTTGACCTCCAGGTCTGAATACCCAGTTGGTTTATTTGTGTATCGTATGAGATCTGGAGCTCAAGACCTTCAGCTCTGCCTCCTCTTTCATCCATTTGGTTAACTGGAACCTAGGTTTTATTTTGGCTCTAGTTGCTTTCCCACTCCCAATCCAAGAGCTATTTTTTTCTGATTCCTGTGCCTTGTCTAATTTTCTCAGTGCCAGTGATAGTTTCCTTAGTTCTTGCCACCTGCACCCTACCACTCCTTGCAGTCACCCACCAGGAGCCTGGAACTAGGGCATTCTGCTGAAGCAGAAAGCCAGTCATGTCATTCACCTGCGTAATTGCATCTGTGGACTTCGGGGTGAAGATCCAAATTCTCAACTGGCCTTTAAGGCTCTTTTTAAAATTCCACTCCTGGTTTAATGGTCACTAGTCCACCGTCCCCTCTACTTCCCCACTCCTGACCCTACAAATATCCACACATACATTTCTCATATTCACTCATTCTCTCCCCCTTTCTCTCCCTCACCCCCTACCATACTGAATTACTTTGAATTTCGCAAGTTTCGTGTTTCCTCATCCTACAAGTCTTCTGTGCCCGCATTTCACTCAGTCTGGAATCCTCTGCCCCCAATTCCCACTTGCTGTACCCACCTACTAAATCTTCTTCACCTTTTAGGTGTCAGCTTAGTCTTTACTCCTCCGGTCTCCTGCATGCTTTTATAATATTTGGAACTTACTCCATCACAATACATGTTGCCACACTCTGGACAGGGATGGAATTTACTTGTTTTTTTGGTCTCCCTTACTGGGCCTTTAGCCTAGGAGTTATAGAAATCATATCTATCCCATTTACTTTTTGTTCCCCCGGGGCCAGCACATGTCTGCCATATATCAGCCTTTAAAAAATGTCAGAGTTTAGAAACAATGTAACGACCTAGCATTATTCATGGGAGTGGCAAGACAGATTAATTTTTGGCAGGGCAAAAAAAGTCATAAAATGTGACTCTCCGTAAGCAGATAAATGGACAGATTTGTCTACGAAGCACTTTACAGTGTGTGTGCGCGTGCGCATGTGTTTGTGCACACGCACGCTCGCTCACAGTGTCTGTTTTCGGCCTCAGTCTGAGACCCTTGGTGCCAGTTAGGCAGGGGCTTTTGCACAACCAGACCTCTCCTGTAACTAAATAGGGTGCCGTTTCTTCTTGGCAGTGTTTTAAATCACATGTAAAGGGCTTGAAAGAGGGGGCTTAGCCCTGAGAATTCAGCTGTTGTGAGTAAGGCCTGATGTTCAGTGATGGTGGTATCATCCCCAGTGCCTTCCCAATTCCCAGGACAATGCTGCCTGGAGTTTTACACAGTGACTAATTTAGGACATCTCATAAGAAAAGGAGCCCTAACCCTTAGTGCATTTAGAAAGACCTGGTCTAGGTCTTCTAGGAAACATTCTCAGTTTGGACTATCACAGTTCCTGACGTGATCCTATCTGTCTTCCTGGGATGCTATTTGGTAACAAAGTGAAGTAAATTTTTTATTATGAAAATTATACTTGTTATAAACATTTGAGAAAAGATTATGTAAATAAGCATTTACTTTATGCGAATACCTTATTTAATAATATTATGTTAAAGTTAGAGGCACATGAATATATCACATTTTCCCCTGTGTCCAGCCTAATGGGGAAAGAAAGCAGATTATTCTCTAGATACAAACTTTGTTTTTTTTAGCCATCATGAAAGGCAAAAGGATATTCTGTATGAATTTTTGTAAGTTAATTTTACTTATTATTTTATTTAGTAAGGGGTGATTATAATGTCAGTGGCTTTGAACCATAACATTGACCTAACATAATATTTAAGCCATTTTTTTCATTTAAAAATTATACATAATCTGTAAATGATAAATTGTTTTTAATGTGTTTATGGACTGAAGTTATTAAAGTTAGTTACTTTCTCTAAATCTCATGCTATTAATACAAATAATTTTTAAATTATAATTAAAAATTAGTAATTTTTAAATTATAAGTGACTTTAAATATCACTTATAATCCCACTAACCTCTGATATTGTTTTGTTCATGATTGCTTTCAGTTTTTATGTCCTTTCAGTCTATATCTATGAACATTATACTTTTTACTTGTTTTCATAATGATGTGTAAACAATTTTGTGTTTTTTAAGTAATATTTTATTTAAAATGTTATTTAAAATGAAGTTTCATTTTATTTAAAATATGTTATCTACATAATTATTTTCATGCTTGGCTAGATACATACAATCTGATATAAATAACTTTTTAGACAGAAACTGTGATTTCTGGCTGAAGCTTTACTTTTTATGCTTGAAGCTCATTTATTGTTAGGAACACATCATAAGATGCTTACTTTAATAACTAACCTTTTCTTTTAAATATCAGGTAATATACATGTTAAGGCAATCATGAAATTGGTGGTATTTTTATAGAAGCTAAAATTGAACAGAAGAAGATCAAATCACCTAATTTGCACATGAAAACAAGCATTTCTGAAACTAATTTGATTTGCAATAAAAATAGGGATGTTAATTTTGTACATACTTGGTCACTGTGACCTTGAATAATTGGATGATTTGGAAGAAAGAAAGAGAGAGAGAGAAAGAGAGAAAAGAAAAGAAAAAAGAAAAGATTGGTTGGAAAAGTCTCTCTGCCAATGAAATGACATCATTCCTGGAAAGGGTTTGATAATTGTGCAAGAAGGATCAGGAAAGTACTACCACCTAGTAGCGGGGACTGCCTGGAACAGCCAAACTACATAAACAGTCTTCTGAACTTTCCAAAGCTGCCAGCATAAATGTCTGCAGATTTTAATGAAGAAAACAGATGTAAATGGACGGTGGAGGTGATGGATAACTTCTCCCTGTGTAGTGAGAGATCCAAAAGAGAAAGGTTTCCAGTCAAAAGTAATGTTTTTAAAATATCTTAATTATCTATGAAAATTAAATTGAGGCAAAAAGTAGAAAGTGGAAAGGTTAAAAATAAAGTCTTAATTCTGAAAACTAAAAGTAGTAATACCTTTTATGCTCTAACCTTTTAAAAGATATCAATCAGTTCCATATTCACATAGGGTTCTAATAGACTGATCAATAATTCATGAAATAAATATTTAATTTTTATGAGATTTCTGAGATGAGGAAAGTGCCAGTCTTTACACATTGTTGGGAATTTTAGATATGGCCAACTATTTGGGGGATTTTTTTTCTTCCTTTAAAAAAAAAAACTCTTTCCCAGGATATTTTAAACAAATTATATTTCCCACTAGCCTTTAAAAAAAATGTTTTAAAATTTCTTTTAGAAATAATGCTTAGTACAGGATCCATTTTCACATGAATATATTTTTTTCCTTCAAAACCATATTATTGTATAGAATATGAATGATTAATGTTTGCATTTGTAATTTGACAATAGCAAAATTTTCTGTTTTTACTATAGAGGTCCATTAAAATGACCACATTGACTCTTGAAATGTCATTAATGAATTTCGTGAGTACATATTTCCTGCCCTGTAATTTGTTTCCTGAATTATCATGTAGTTCGAAAGAGATGTGAATGAGTTACTTTTTCATGTCCTGTGATCGTACTACGATTACACAAAGATTTTCCCATTTTAATGAGTACTGTACTGTTTCAACAACATTTGTTTCAGTTTTAGTACAATAGAAGTATTTGGATGGCATCCCAAATATTTGAGAGGAATCTGGTAAAATGGTACTAGACTAATTACCTCATCTGTTCTGTACTGGAAGATCTTTTAGGGTCTTAAGAAGCTAGACTACCATACATTTTGACCATCGTATTTAGTATATTGACATTTTTTTCTTTTGAGTTCATCTCACTTTTCTAATGAAAAATTAATCATTATATAAGCATAGTGAGGATTTTAAGTGCTTCCTTTTCACAGTAATGTAAAAATCACAGCTAAAGCTAGTTTGCTGCAACTTTACTGTCTTGAGGTGAAATAGTTTTTGAAAAGAAATAAAAACATAAAAATTTAAAAATTACAAACGGTCATACCACTACAGGTATTAAAATTGCAGTAGAAAAGTGTACTGATTTTTTTAAAGGTAAATCAGAATTTTCTCTAAAATGTTTACACTCTAGGAATACTCAGGATTTGTTTGAGGGCTCATATTTTAGTGTTTATGTCTGTCCTCTGTCTACCTTCCCTCATTTTCTTCTCCACCTGAAACACACTCAAGGGACTCCGATTTTATGGATGAAATGATTGCCAATAGATGCCTGAGGAGAGGGGGAGATAAGTTACAAAGGAGATGTCTGAGTGATTTGAAAGGGGAGGCAATATTGTACTTCAGTTTTTTGTTAATAGGATTTGTGGGGTGGCAGTAATTAGGACCTTGTTCCAGATCTGTTTTAATCTGCAACCTTTGTCTTCCTGAAGTCAGTGCCCCTGAACCACTGCCCAGAAGCCTAGTTTATAGTAGGTAGCATAGTTTCTGGGAGGGTTTAGTGCTTTTTGGTGATAAGGTATATATATAATACCGGTTATGTGTGGTGATGGTTGGCAAGAGTTTACATTGGCACTGCCCCATTCACTGCAGGTGTCTGCACCAGGCCTTGAACATATTTATCTTATTACTAAATTACTATTCACATGACTGCTCTTATTAGTGTTGTTTTGGCTAGGTCTCATTAGCTCAATTAAAACTCTGTATTTCATTATTTGACATATCTATTCAATTATGTCTCTTCTGGTATTATTTCTTACTGAAATAAAATGACCTTTGTGATTTATAATGCATTTTTTGGCCTTTCTAGACAAAATTTGCCCTGATTTTATGATTCCTTATCTGGAGAGAACTTAGTTCAGTGTATACCTTTAGGCGCTAAATATTAGTAGAATTATTAAGGAATATACCTAATGCAGAAAACCTGCTTTGAAGATAGATGTTTATAGAATTGATGGGAAAGGCTTACTTAATGTAGTTTTCCTTCATTTACTAGATTCTCCTGAATTATTTTGGAAACTATGTACCGAACGCATGGACGCAGGATAATGGCTGCACTCTTTGTGATGTGGATACAATTGACTTATCTACGGTAGATGTGAGTGGAATTGACTATGTGTGAAATGTAGAAATAAAAAGCACAGTGTCATGAAATGCAGTGATTTTTCAAAAACATGTTATTTTATAGTTTTGGTAATATGGTAGATAATGGATTTATAAAGCTAAAATGATGATTCAGAAAATTGCTAGATTTGTGTGTTTCTGAACTGTTTTTGAAAGTGAAACTGGCTAGTAATTGATCCCAATAAAAGGGACTTAGTTAATATTTAATAGTTGTTATGATTGGATGCTCTTGTTCTATTTTAGTCCACTAACTTAGCTAAAGCATTGAGGAAAAAAATGCTTTAGCATTTGTATTGACTAGTATTATCTGTGCTTGATTTTCAAATATGATGATTTAAAAAATAATAATATTTGATTATGTAACTAAGGACCGTTTTAAGTATTTTACATAAAGTAACTCAATTAAACTTCATGAAATGTCTTAAGTAGATTGTACTAATTGATTCAGTTTTACAAATGAAAAACTGAGATACATACAAATTAAGTAACTTGCTTAAGGGCACCCAAGTTTTTTAGGCGTTGGAGGTGAGATTTGAATTTAGGCGATCTGGCTCTAAACCCTGTACATATTATATGCCAGGCACAGTGCTACTTTTATGTATAGCTCATAGAGAATTATAGCTGTAGTTTATCTTTTACACTTTGAGGGTAAAGGAGCAATTATAAATAATATTTACCTGTAGAACATTCTGATGCATCCTTCTGTCATCAACCAGAGCAGCTTTAGGATATCTTATGGTAACATTTTTCTTCCAAAAAATTGCTCTTGTAACTTGGAAGACTGTTATTGTGGGTATGACCAGTTGGATTCTAGGGATGATTTTGTCATTAAGGCTGATTCTTTCCTTCATTCATCATAGGTTTATTGAGTATCTACAGCATGCCAGATAGGTAGAACCAATATAAGCAAAAATGAAATTCCCAGTTATATAGTCTTGGTAACTCCTGGATCCATGCAAATATAAAATACTCTTACTATAAAGAACTGAAGCTCCTGAATTAAATTGTTTCTATGCTTATCACTGTCTGAAAGGAGGACAAAGAGTAACTTGTGCACATTTAGGAGCTTCTGAATAGAGCCCTACTTTTCTTGAAAATAAGACTTTTTGGCTGGTCTCTCAAATAACTAACTGAATATTTCCTATCTGGAAAGAGTGCCAGAATATTTTTGAATGAAGCAGCACCATGATGTTTAAAAATTCATCCTGATCTTTTTTGCAGAAAGTAGTGTTGTCCTTTGGAGGGAGGGTTAATTCTTTTTATCTGTTCGGTCTTCTTTTACATAAACTTTCTGGTGCAAATACAGAAAAACGTTTGCTTTAAAATTTTGTAGTTATTGGGGTGCCTGGGTGGCTCAGTCGGTTAAGCAACTGATTCTGGATTCTGGAGTCCCGGGATCGAGTCCCACATCAGGCTCCCTGCTCAGCAGGGAGTCTGCTTCTCCCTCTGACCCTCCCCCTCTCATGCTCTCTGTCTCCCATTCTCTCTCTCAGATAAATAAATAAAACCTTTAAAAATTTTTTTTAAATTTTGTAGTTATTATGCAATAGGGATATAAAAATTAAAATGATGTGGGTAGTTAAGATCTCAGGCCTATCATATTCTTAGGTGTGGGCCATAAGCAAGTTTCTTTCTATATAAAGAAAGGGAGGGTTAAATGAAACTTTATACTTAGATATATAAATAATATTTTACATGTATAAATTATATATACATATGCAGTACTAAGCCTTCAATCTATGTTAACTGTTGTATTATCATTAGTATATAAAAAGAACTTAGATGGATAATGAAAAGGTAGCACATTGAAACCCAGCTCTTTACCTACTAATTATGTGTTCTGAGTTGCTTAATTTCTCTAAACCCCATTTTCCTCATGTGTAAATTTGGAATAATAAGTAACTCTAAGGTTATTATGAAATGTAAATTAAATGTATTATTTCATTTAATAAGGGAGAGTTGTGATCAACTTTTTACTTATTTCCCCTATTAAATTGAGAACTCCTACAGGGTAGATATTTTGTCTTTAGTTGTTTGTATTTTTTTATTCAGTAATAAATATTTGAGTGAATAAATTGATAAAGAAGTAAATAGTAAATAAGTTGTTCTTCAATGTAAACAGATATTAAGTTATGATCCAGATAACAGAAATACATGAGGCATCATGCATGAAAAGATGGGAGAGGCGGTACCTAATTCAGCACTTAACATATATGATACTTCTAAAAATCTTTAATCTTTAAATTCAGACTTTAAGACATGTTTTAAAAAAGCATTATAATGAAATCTTTCTTATAGTTTTGGTAATAACACTATTACATGGTCATTTACTTATGTTTCTGTCTTCCCCAACCATTTGTAAATTTTTAAGGCCAGGAACCTTTTACTCCTTGTCCTAAATGTTGCTCATCACAAGGACTGACAAATATGATGAATTTTTCAAAAAGTTCTCATGCAATTAGTGAAAGATAAACTATCCTGTAAAACATACCCAAAGGATTTTTAAAAATCTATAGAAATAGATCGAACAAGATAAACTACATTAGTGAAAGAAAATAGTTTTCTTATATATAATAATGAGCAAAATAAAGTACTATCCATAAAAGAGATTAAAGGAAATATTCAAGGATAGAAATAAAGGCTCAAGACCTCCATGATTGCTTTATCTGAGCTACAAATTAAATGTTGAACTTCCAAGCCATGGAAACCAAAAGGGAAAAACAATTAGCATTCTGACTTCTTAGATGAAGATGACAAAGTAGATTCAGATCTGAAGGAAATTTCTTTAAAGACTATCATAAAGGAAGCATTGAATGGTAGAGTAGGCAATTTCCTTTATTACATTCATGTAATAAATATGATAGTGAGTTTCCTCTTCAAACCTAAGTCATAATGTCAAGATGTGATTAGGTAAATCACTTTGAGGGGGACCATAGGAATGTATTTTAAGTGTTAGAGAATTGCCATGGGGCAATTGAAATTTAGCAGATTATAAATGATATTCCTAATATATTTTATGTTGTACTGATTAAGACTTAAATAGAATTTAGAGTACACCCACACTAATAATAATTTGCTTTTATGTTTGCCATAAAACAAAGGTCCATCCAAATGTAACAATAGGAGTTTTTATTGAACAACCAACCCCTTTCCTACCTCGATTTCTGGACGTATTGTTGACACTGGATTACCCAAAAGAAGCGCTTAAGCTCTTTATTCATAACAAAGTAAGTGTTTGAGAAATGAATATTTTATGTGAAAATTGTTTTTGACCTTCTTTGGAACTATTTGCTATTATTTGTTTATGTGTAAAATAACACACTGAGCTAAATACAGTGGGGAATTTTGGGGATAATTACTATCCTGTTTATTTAGGACCTAAGGATTTTAGAGTCTGGAAACTAGTATTATAATATTGGAATGAGCCACATGAAGCTCAATTTTGTAGATTCAAAATGGTGGAATATCAGCTATTTTCATATGGTTCAACTTAATATATAAATATGTGAAGAAATGTCAAAGTCCTCATATTCCTTTGCCTTTGGGTTAGTCCTTGTACCTTCTTTGATGGAACTGGTCATTAAATTGTTTGCAGCTTAAGCTAATACTGTGACATCAGAACTTAAAACAGCTTCCAGATACAGTATTGTTTTGATTAACCACACAATGGCATGCTCTTCCCCAAAGGATTTTGATACTGTCATTTCCTCCAAAAATAATCAGAACCTCCCGCAAACCTCCCACACATAATCTCAACTGAGACATTTTTGCTCAATATTTTCCCATTTACTTGTCCCTTTCCTGTTAAAACAATTGACACTTAACATCTTCTAGAAAAACACAATAGCTATGAAATATGCATTTTCTCTCTTTTGTCCTAATGCTTTTTGTTTAATATTGTTCTTTCTTCCTAATGTACATGTCAGCTTATCGTTTGCCTTTTCCAGAGAATATTTTAAATTTGCAGAAAACCAGCTACAATAAGTTTAAAAGGGTGAATCATTGAGCATTTGCTTTGTAAAATGTGTCGTAATACATTTATTTACATTGAAGTGTTTTGTTTTTATATATTGTGTCATTTATTTATGTCTTCCTCCTTTCATAGGACCTCCTTGATGAGAGAGGATTTTGTCTTCTCTCTTTTTTTATAAAATTAACTCTGTGCAGCTTTTATGCTATAACTCGTTTTAACAAGCTGTGAAAAGCTTTCAAATAACTTAGTGAAACTCAATACACAAAAAGCTCTGAAATGCTCTGTTGGAGACACATAATCTTATCTAAATTTTAGCACAGTTGAATCATACTAATTTGATGACTTATGTTCATAATTTATCAATAAGGTTTTCTTAAACTTTACCTTCTTTTTGTAAAAATACAATTTTATATATGACCATTCATTTCTGTCTCCGGCTTCAAAGAGTATTATAATACTTACTTTATAAAATATGATTATATTTTTAACTTAGATTAATGTCTATTAGGTTTAATAGACATTTTTTGGGGATATTTTAAAGCACATGTCTGAAATTCTCAGGCCACAAGCCATTTTTCCTTCAAGTCAGAAACATTTTGTTTAAATTTAAACCCAGGATTTAAATATTTCTTCAAGGACCTGTCCAGGAGTAGATGTTAGAAGAATTTTGTTTTATTTTTATTTTAAAAAATACTGATGTGTATCTATTTTAGATTCTTCACGTGATACGTGTTTGATACAGGTTATCATTTCATCTGTAATTGAGGGAATATGTGAATTGTGGAATTCACAACTTTGAATACGATGCCATCCCTACATATGAATACTTCAGTTATCCTATTGTCATTTTCGCACTAATGTTCTGTTTTTAAAATATGTTACAGGAAGTTTATCATGAAAAGGACATCAAAGTATTTTTTGATAAAGCTAAACATGAAATCAATACTATAAAAATAGTAGGACCAGAAGAAAATCTAAGTCAAGCTGAAGCCAGAAACATGGGAATGTATGTTTTAATCAATTTAAGTAATTTCTACTAAAGAAATTTAAAGAAAAACAACTTTTCTTCAAAATTAGTATCCTGAACTTGGGTGTCTCAGCTCTGTGTGTGAGTTTGCATGTGTGCTGTGTATGCTCATGAGCACACCTCTACTGTTAGACTGTATCTACGTTTGTGTGTATTTACATGTATACAGAGAGAGAGATGGTTGAGAGTCAACATATTTAATCAAGCTGTTAATTGAACTGCAGATCAAGATTTAAAAGAATACTCAGACAGGGGTGCCTGGCTGGCTCAGTCAGAAGAGCATGTGACTCTTGATCTCTGGGTCATGAATTTGAGCCTTAACGCTGGGAGTAGAGATTACTTAAAATAAGAAATAAAAAAAGATACTCAGACAAATGAATAGTATGACTGATGTAGCAGTGATCTAAATGTTTACTATCTGAAGATTATGTGTGGTGAAAATGTGTGTTTCAGATTGTGGGGTATAAAGGGTATTCCTACTTTCTAGTCACCTACTGGTCTAGATAAAACTATATCCCTCAGAAGAAAGTTTTAGGTTCTTTGTTTAGCCCCTTTAATACTTTAGACAGATTACTAGTAAAACTCTGGAAATAATAAAAACAATCATTTTTCAGTAAATGTTAATTGAATATGCCAGCAGTGACTTAAGAGCTGCTGAGAAAAAAGATAAATAAATCATGTGACTTCTCTTCAGATGTTCTCTTGTGTTGTGGAAGCTCACGGTACAGAGTGATGGGTAGTGCCTGGTGGGGGAATAAAGGCATAGGCAGGAAAACAAGCCTCAGAAAGACAAAATTAATGGTTCCATAATTTATTCATTGGAGAATACCTTGGATCCACATTTGGAACTTATTTTCTCGATTTTTTTCTTTAAATATATACTCTGTTGTGTCTGGCTTCTTTGGCTCAGTACAACATATTCTCATTCACTCATGTCAATGCAGTTATCAGCAGTTCATTCCTTTCATGACCGACTAATACTCTGTCATGTGAATATACCACAAATAGATTTTACACTTTCTTATTGATAGAATTAGATCATGTCCAGTTTGGAGCCATTTGAATAAGATTGCTAAAGAAGACTCCTTATTAGAAGTGTATATGTGGGTGTATGTGTGTACATATTTTGCTTCCGTATATTTTAGGAAAATACCCAGGAGTAGACTAACTAGGGCATAGGGTTAGAATAAATGCATGTTTAACTTTATAAGAAACTGCCAAATAGTCCTCCAAACCGTTATACCATTGTACACACCTGACAGCAGGTAGTTCAGACCTCTGGCTGCTCCACATTTGTCAACAGTTGATGTTGCCCATCTTTTTTTATTTTAGCTACTTTATTGGGTATCAAAAATATCTTACTGTATTTTAATTTAATTCCCTGACAACGAATTCTCTATTTGTATATTAATTGGCTATTTGTATGTATTCATTTGTAGAGTATCTGTTTAAGTCTTTTGTGCATTTTTGTTTACATTGGGTTATCTTTTTTTGTTTATTTATAGGATTTCATTATATAATCTGTATACAAGGGGTGTGTGTGTTTGTGTGTGTGTGTATGATGTTTTGTGACTATTTGCTCCATTCTGTGGCTTGATTTTTTTTACTTTTTTAATCATGTCTTTTGATAAGAAGAAATTTGAATTCCAATAAAATTCTATTTCTTTTTTTTTTTTCTTTTATGCTTTTTGCTTTTGGGGTTTATTTTCTATTTAAGAAATCTTTCTGATTCCAATGTTATGAAAACATCCCTTGGAATTTTTCTTTTATAAGCTTTATTGTCCTAGCACTTATGTTTAAGATGTTTCAATCTATAATTCATCCTGAATACATTTTTGTGTTTGGAGTGAAGTGGGGGTCAAATTTTATTCTTTGCAAAAGGAATTCCAGTTGTTTCAACACTCCTTTTTATTTTAAGGCTTTTCTTTTCCTATGTAATTGACTTGGCTTTGGTCAAAAATCAATTGACTGAATATTTATGAGTGATTGTGAACTCTCTACTCTGTTCCGTTGATTTTAGATCAATGCAACACTTTATTACCAGGGATTTATATTAATCTTGAAATCAAGTAGTGTAATTCCTTCAGTTTTTATTCCAAAATAATTTTGGCTATTTTATTTTTATTTTATTTTATCTTATGTATTTAATTGAGGTATAATTCACATATAACCTGTAGCTTTAGATGTACAACATAATGATTCAATATTTGAATACACAAAATAAGTTTAGTTACCATCTGTCATCATACATAATTACAAAACTTTAAAAAATTTTTCTCTAATTTTTTGTGCAAGTTTAGCAAAGTTTCCTGTATGACAGTTGCTTAGAAACAAATGTGGTATAGAGATACATACTGACAATAGCAGAAAGTGGTAACTAGGATCAGCAGTGAGGGAGGGGAGGTCAAAAGGAGAGAGCCCCAGATGTAGAAATCATAATACTTGGAAGCATCTCATGTATCACAAGTAGTTCATTCCTTGTTGTTCCTGATGAAAATGCTACAGACTCTACCAAGAAAAACATATGTCATAGTCCATGATGACCCCTGATAAGAAGCAGGGGAGTAAATTTCTTAGAATTCCATGCAAATCAAGTTTAAAAAGTATTAATACCTAAAGAATTACACACTTGTATCTCCAAGATTCACTTAAAACTGAGTTGTTGGATAAGCAAGATTTTGCACTGTGTGTGTGTGTGTGTGTGCAGAAAGCATTTTGATTTGTGAAAAAAAGTTGTTGATAAATACATTGAGATAAATTATGTTTCCCTTCTAGAGAGTTCTAAGTACCAAATTCTAAATTGCCATTCTGACTGGGTATCTTATGCCTTAAACTTCTTAGTGGCTTGAAAATGTATTTCACTTGACCTAAAATTTTTAGTGTTGATCTCCATGTGAATATCTATGTTGATAAACTGACCATTTTGAAATTTAAGACAGTATTTATCCCTTTGGAGACTGTCTTACTATATTGATTAGAAGAATATGTTAGAGAAACTTTATTTTATGTATAAGCTTTATGTTGACATTTTTCAACTAGCAAGTATTTATTTTATCTAATTCTTATTTCTTTTTCAATGTTAGGGATTTTTGCCGTCAGGATGAAAACTGTGATTATTATTTTAGTCTGGATGCAGATGTTGTTTTGACAAATCCAAGGACCTTAAAAATTTTGATTGAACAAAACAGGTACTACATAAGATTCATTTTCAATTTATTTTTAAAATGATAATCATTTTCTGTGTCTATGTGGACACACTATGCTTACATATCTATGTTTAGTGGATTGAGGGAACTCACATGAAGTTATTTTCTATGCCTTATAAACTTTCAATTCTTACTAGTTTTCTTTCAAAGGAGTCAAATAGAAAACAATGATGAAAATTAGAAGTATTTAATATTAGTTACAATCACAAATGCAATGTTTATCAATTATATTTGGCCTATTTTTCTGTTTAAAGCAAGGTGAAATTATGATATATCTGTAAAATTTGGAATTTTAAAATTTTTTGTAGATATTTTTAAAGTAGAATTTCATAAAACTTATGACCTAAAAAGTTATTGCAAACGGAGATCTAAGGTCTTAGAATTTGAAAGAAATTTCAGAGATCTGTGATTTTATTTAGTACTGAACTGATAATTATTACTTGGCAGTACCTATTTTTATTTAGTGGAATTGAAGTGTGAAAAAGACATCATCTATACCAGCTTATAATGATATTAGTCATTATTTATTATATTACACCTATTGCTGCTAGTAGTTTATTAATCCTCCTACTAATAGCCCACCTTTAATGAGTGCTTATTAAGTGCCACGTATTGTTTTTAAGTATGTTTACATATATTAATGCAGTTATTTATCTTAGCAAATAGTATGGTTAGCAGTGAAATATTAGAATTGCTGTTTTTATTTTGCTGAGTAAAATATATGAGAAATCTGTTATGCTATACTAACCTCCTCTATATGTAATATGATTTGCCAATTTGAGAATTCAGTTATTACTTCAAAATCTAAGACCTCTTAGTATTAATCTGTGTATACAGCCCCACTGTATATCTATAAATTGCAAGTAATTTTTCAAAACATGAACAACCTTTTGATCATTAGGCAAGGAGCAGTTAGGCTACCTTAGAGATAAGGGATAGAGTTGCAATTTATAACTCTTAAAACCTAGTGGAATTCAGTAATATTTTCTTGAATTTGCAATGTTAATTGCCTCTTAATTTGATTTAAATTCAATATTATGGAATGTACATTTTTAGATAATATCTATATGTTTTTATTATATGACACTTTTGCAGGTACTTATTCTTACAGTGAACTATTTAATGAATTCATACTATGTATTTAACATATATCCCCTTTAATATTAATCTAATGTTTTAAACCTGGTAAAAAATAAAATTCCCTCAAAAGTAACTCAACTGCCATCTGGGTCCATTGCCCTTGAAAGGCTAGAAAACTCAGGATATTTTTCCAATTCCATAAATTTCTGTTACTGATCAAAGGTTTCGGTTCATATGATACATACAGTTCTTGCTTCTGTATCCAAGCATGTAGTTTTTATAAAGAATTTACATATACCAAAAATCTTGTGAGGTTTAGTAGACTTGACTGAAGGTTAGAGGGACAAGGGATGGGTCACATCTTAGGGCATGTAGCTTTCTAGCATTTCATCAGCTCTCTTTTCCCTCTTTTCCCATCTCTGCTATTTACTGCCTTACTCCAGGTTTTACTCCTTCAGTAATGTAGTGTAATTCATCATCCCCCAGCTGCTGTCCTGATAAAGTAGTCCCCCTTATCCACAGGGGATACGTTCCAAGACCTCCAGGGGATGCCTGAAACCACAGATAATCCCAAACCCTATATACGCTATGTTTTTTTCCTATACTTACAGACCTGTGATAAAGCTTAATTTATAAATTGCTCACAGTAAGAGATTAACAACAATAATAAAATAGAACAGTTATAACAATATGCTGTAATAAAAGTTATGTGGATGTGATTTCTCTCTCTCAAAATATCTTTTTGTTCTGTGCTCACCCTTCTTGTGATGATGTGAGATGATAAAATGCCCACTTGAGGAGATGAAGTGAGGGGAATGACACAGGCAGTGTGACTTAACGTTAAGCTACTATTGATCTGATGATTCATCAGAAGAATCATCTGCTTCTGGACTATGGTTGACCCTGGGTAATTGAAACCATGGATAAGGGGCCTTACTGTATTTCAGTACTCAAAAACATTGAGGCACACCGAAGATGGATTTTGATTTCCATTTCTTTGCCTAACCTTCTATGGAAGGCAGCTGGATTATAAATTACAAGATTTTTTTTTTCTATTATATATTTGATCTTATCAGTTAACACCATTGAATTATTTCTTAAATTAACATAATATATAGATTCTAATTTATAGTATCATTTCTAATATTGTAGATATTCTTTTTTTATTATGTTAATCACCATACATTACGTCATTAGTTTTTGATGTAGCGTTCCATGATTCATTGTTTGTGTATAACACCCAGTGCTCCATTCAGTACGTGCCCTCTTTAATACCCATCACCAGGCTAACCCATCCCCGCACCCCCCTCCCCTCTAGAACCCTCAGTCTGTTTCTCAGAGTCCATAGTCTCTCATGGTTCGTCTCCCTCTCCAATTTCCCCCCCTTCATTTTTCACTTCCTACTATCTTCTTTTTTTTTTTTTAACATATAATATATTGCTTCAGAGGTACAGATCTATGATTCAACAGTCTTGCACAATTCACAGCGCTTACCAGAGCACATACCCTCCCCCATGTCTATCACCCAGCCACCCCATCCCTCCCACCCCCTACCACTCCAGCAAGCCTCAGTTTGTTTCCTGAGATTAAGAATTCCTCATATCAGTGAGGTCATATGATACATGTCTTTCTCTGATTGACTTATTTTCGCTCAGCATAACACCCTCCAGGTCCATCCACGTCGTTGCAAATGGCAAGATCTCATTCCTTTTGATGGCTGCATAATATTCCACTGTGTATATATACCACATCTTCTTTATCCATTCATCTGTTGATGGACAATTTAAGTGTTTCTGGTTAACATTTCCTTTTAATAGGAACCAGGAAAAATAAACCAAAATCACTATTTTGAATAATGTGTATTTATAGACTGTTTCACTTTTCTGTAGGTAAGGGAAAGGGCACACCTGGTCTTCACAGGACTGGAGTGCTGTGAAATAGGGTTTTTTTTTGTGGCAAATACCTGGTTCATAAACTTCCTCATGAAAGAGTTGGGTGAGCTTTTCTTAAAAATTGACACCACTATAATTCACTTCATTTTTAAAGTAATTCTAGAGGAACCTCAGAATTACCTCATTTGGAAAGTGTTGACACATTATAAATTAGATTTTCCTAAGAAAAAATCTGACATATTTTGAATCTGTAACATGTGCTTGTCTCAAAGGGACTACTTTCCTGGTAGGTAGTCAGACAGAGTGCTATGGCAATTACCCTCTATTTTTTTTTTTTTAATTAGCAATAATCGCGCCTCAGATAAACCTCATTGGCTACGATACTGCCACTGTGCAAAGCTATTTTTTTTTTTTAAGTAGTTGAAGGGCCAGAAGAATGTCCAGTGTTGCCAGGGATAGCACAGCCCATTTTAAAAGTTGTAAAAAAAAAAAAAAAGGAAACATACTTTAAAGTAATTCAGGACCTAACTTAAGGAAAACTGGCCTATTTACAAATATCTCAGTTCATCTTTATTCATTTTTTTATTCAACAAATATTTGTCAAATATTTGTTGGATACTTCAGTGCACCAGGGATTATTATGTCTTCTCAATGACAATGAAACTATTTGATTTCATTTTGTATAATTTCTGAAATACTTAAAATAATTAAATAATTAAGGTAGTTTGACTTAATTGGATAGAAGTAAGGTACTTTTAAAAGTCATTTTTATACTTTAATTAGCATTTTCGATTACTTTGCCTTTTTAAGAAACATCATTGAAAATCAGCAGTGTGCTTATTTAAGAAAAAGTGGAAAGAAATTCCTGTTTATCTTTTATTTTACTTTTTTTTTTTTAACTCACTACATGGGTATTATATGAACTTTAGTGTTGTATGTGTCATGCTAAGCCCAAAACACATAATTCTGTGGTAATTTAAGAATAAACAATTACTTGGATTTGTTTTTCCTTTCACGCTGTCTTTAGAAAGATCATTGCTCCTCTCGTAACTCGTCATGGAAAGCTATGGTCCAACTTCTGGGGAGCCTTGAGTCCTGATGGATACTATGCTCGATCTGAAGATTATGTGGATATTGTTCAAGGGAATAGAGTGTAAGTTACTTGGTCAGTCTTTTAATGTAAAGTGCCATAACCTCAAAATGTGGTCTTGTTAACATTACCTGAGTTTTTGTTCCTCTTTTCTTCATGATTAGTGGAAATCTGCCAACCTGAGACCACTTGGGATCCTGAAATACTAGTGTAAAATAATATTACAAAAATCTGTCTTTGAGGTTCTAAATCTTCACAGGAACAAACTTAACTTGTGGGAAATACTAAGATACTACATGGTAGGTGGGAGTAGCTGTGAGAGGGTTGTCAGAAGACTAATATTATTTAGTTAAAAGTTTAGAAGAAGAATTTAGTTTAGCTCATTTAGTGGCCAGGATGAAAGTTGTTTTGATAGCTTTTAAAATTTACAAGTGAACAAACAAAATCAATAACAAAGGCAATGATTTACCTTCTAGCATTTCCTACTGCAAGAGTGTTCTGTGTAAAATAGCTAATATTCTGCTTTAAAGATCAATTTCTTCACCAATATCTGATTTCCATTTCCAGAGTTTAAAAAGAATATACTTGCTACAAAGTGTATGCATGAATTGATATTTATTTCAGAGACAATAGTTGACATTTTTTAGACTAAAAAATAATCAGAATTGAAATAGTGTTTTTTTCCTAAGGTAGTATAGAGTGGAATGTTATCCTTTTTCTTCATACAGATGATGGACCAGAGTGACTGATACATTAAAGCCTTTGCCTAATTTCTCAGATACATCAGCCCAGTTAGAAAGGGAAAACATTCTTTCATGACTAAAAATATGTGCCCCTAAATTGAGAATAAAAACCCCACATACTTTTTGTTGAACAGTTGAGTATTAAAAAGATGTTTTACTTGTGAAAATAGTAATAGTAAATTTGAATGATAAATATGATTAAAGCTTTTGTTAGCTGCAATTAAGAAGCATGATAGCTGAGAAAACACTGTTCAGATCATGTTCTGTTGTTTCAAAGTATTTTATTATCTCTAGGATGATTTGTATAGACCAAATGCCTGATATTGTCTGTGGGTATAACAGAAATAAGGGTTCACAGAAGTAGAATATAGAATTAATGTTTCATTTAAGTTGCTTTAGGCACTGGTGATATTTTGTACAGCCTCCTGTCACTGTTGTTTAAAGTATAAGGAAAAGAATATGGGAGAGGTTTTTGATCTAGTTAATACAAAAATGCACTTCATGTCCAAAAGCTACATGAAGGAATGACATCTTATGACACATATGCACATGGGTGTGTGTGTGTGTGTGTGTGTGTGTGTGTGTCTTTCTTCAAAACTGCATACTCTGCCAGTGACAAGTTTCTGAATTCAGATGATACACTGTATTATCTTTTATGGCTGTTTCCCTTGAGGTTCATCTAGCAAAACAAAATGAAATCATATTCCTTTTAACATCTAACTTCATTTCCTTGGTCAAAATCTTTCCTTTCTTTCTCTAAAAGCAATAGGCATTTGCCTTCAGGTGAAACCTCACTCACTATTCTTAGGAAATGAGTCATGTTCAGAGTGAAAAGACAAATGTGGGGAAGAATGAAGGGCAAAATAAAGTTATCTCCCAACCCTCACGTACTTCTAGCTCCATTTCTTCATATCTTCTCTTTCTCAAGAAATTTGAGATGGCTTAGTGAATTTCAAGAGGATATATTTTAGGAGAATTTTAGGCTGTACTCAGTGGTGTGCTGGTAAAGGCCTAACAACTGGATCTGGGGGTTGAGGGATGCCCTGATTTGTAGTGTTTGCCAGTTTCTGCGGTGTAAATGCTTCTGCAGTGGCTGATTTCAGGCTCGCAATGGGAAGTCACTGAGTATAGCTAAGTGCTCTGGGGAGCCAGTGTGAACGAGCTGTAGTACACCACAGGTTGTATGTAATTATTTTTGCTATCAAACTGCTTAATCCTAAATGGAAACTCTTTCTGTACAATAGATTATACTCTAATAATGAAGTGAAGGATTACAGCCAAAATGCTAAACAGGTATCAACCCTAAAATGAAGTTAATGTAGGGAGATAGTGATTTATTGCATAAAAATGTAGTGTGTAGCAAGTAATGTCATATATGTGTGTATAACTATGTTAAATATCATTACATATGTTTGCATTTGCATGTAATTTGATTCAATGATTTATATATACAAAATTTAAAAACATACAAGGTATTTGTTTTGAAAACATAAAAATAAACCTTTAAATATTTTTTATTTGTGGTATTTTGGAATGTCTTGTCTTTACTTTCAGGGGGATATGGAATGTCCCATACATGGCTAATGTGTACTTAATTAAGGGAAAGACACTTCGATCAGAGATGAATGAAAGGAACTATTTTGTTCGTGATAAATTGGATCCTGATATGGCTCTGTGCCGAAATGCTAGAGAAATGGTAGGGTCTACAGTGATGGCTTGCTTGAATGTTTTTATAAAATGGCTTGCTTTACCAGTTGATATGTCATTGTGTTTTGATGCCCCTTTTCTTTCTAATTTGTAAGTACTAGCCAATTTTTTTGGTTCCATATTGAAAAATTGGGAGCAGTTATAGAGAATAATTTGTGAACATTTATCTGTAGAAATAGTTTGGAAAATGTTAGGTTCCATGCTTAGGCATAAGCAACAGAAAGATTTCAATCATAAACATGGATTTGTTATAAATCAGCTTTGCATTTTTAAGAATTCATCTTCACTTCCATCTGAAATTTTATAGTGGAAAACTGACTTAATTAAAATTAATTAGATAAAGCCTGGGTGAAATAATCATTTACACATTTAAGAAGAACACACTTTTGTTCTGAAATCAATGCCCATTATTCTCTTTATCATTATAAACTGCACAGTCCTCAAAGCAGTTCCTTATCACTAAACTGAGAGAGGGATTGTGATATGTAGTATATTTCATCTGTGTGAAAAGTAATGATATATTGCTATTCTACAAATGTACTTTCATTATAAAACTTCAATGATTGTAGAAAATAGTTTGTTTTTCAAAATGTGTGAATGTTTTAAAACATGTTTATATAGTTTTCTATTTTAGAAATGATTGGATTATTTTACTCAAATTCATATAAGCAAATGTGATTTGGGAAAAATCAGAAAAGTTGGCAAGTATTTTTTCTAGTTTAATAAGGCATGTATTGTTTGACTATGTTTGTTTTTCCCACAAACCTATGTGCATTGTTATATTGAGTATCTTCAGTACTTGTGATTGTAATTTGTGCTCATGTTCTGCTAATTTGACTCAACAGCGCATCCTGGAATGGCCTCTCTTACACATTTTTTCCTTTGTCTTTATTTTGTGTCTAATGAAAATTCTACTAAGGAATGAGCTTGGATTTATGTTTGACAAAAAAAAAAAAAAAAGAAAGAAAGGGCTGGAGTTGTTTCTTTGTGTGCGCTATAAGCTTTGCTTGTTATGCATGTTGTCTATGAAGGACATTTCAGAATGTCAGCTTTTGATCAAGGGCTGCTAATGTTATTTACCTAAGAATACCTAGGGGAGTGTGGGTGTGCAGGTCAACTTACCCAATGCTTCTCTTCATTTTAGACTTTACAAAGGGAAAAAGACTCCCCTACTCCGGAAACATTCCAAATGCTCAGCCCCCCAAAGGTGTTATTTTTATTTATTTTTATTTGTTTTTATTTAATTAATGCTAGATATGGTATATTGCCTACCAATAAAGTTTAAGAGTCTTCTTTCCACTTAGCATGGTAAAATGTTGGTATTCATTGGTTCTTAAATTGTATATGTGTGTGTATGTTTTGTGTGTTGGGGGTGGGCATTATGTGATACTCAACTCTTAGTTCTTTGGGCAGATTTACATTTTTTGGTTGACGAATGAGAAAATTAAACCCAAATCCCTTTCACTAGTTTTTCTGGTTTTGTTTTTTTTAAGGGAGAGAAAAAGTAGGAGTAAGTATAAAGTACATCTTGACTAAAATGAGATTGGGGTACTCTTCATTATTATTATTTTTTTATTAATAACTAACCCTTTTACCATTAAAACAGGTACAAAAAGAAACAAACTTACCATAGTGGTGTTTGCCACATTTATTTGGTTTGGGGCAAGGAAATGAGACCGGTTTTCTTTAGCTGCCTTTAATGAATAAGTAATTGCTATGTTCAGTTTTTAAACATCAGAACAATAAAAAGAATAACATAGTCTGATGAAATATTGACATTTGAATTCTTGTTTAAAAATGTGACATTTTCTTTGAAAGGGAAAGAAGCCAAAACAGGTACAATTCATTGCACTTTGTTGTCTCAAAAATATTTCTGCTTTCAAACAGGAATTTTTTTCCCTGATGTCTACATCTAGGATCAATGAGAAAGGGACAAAAACAGTCATTCTTCCTCTTCTTTTTTTCAGTTGAGTGTTAGTGCTATCAATTAGTTTTGTGTGGTGCCTGAATTCATAATTAATAAATTTTTTTTCTTTTATTTTAAATCATGCATGTTTTATATGAAAAATAAAAATGCATGTTCAGGAATGAGATATAAAAGTTGAAATTAATATCTCATGTATATTTTTCCTATGGTTAAGTTTATTTTCTTGTATTTTCCTCTAAGATTGTTAATACTGTTATTCTTTGGCACATAGGGTGTGTTTATGTACATTTCTAATAGACATGAATTTGGAAGACTTTTATCAACTGCTAATTACAATACTTCCCATTATAACAATGACCTCTGGCAAATTTTTGAAAATCCCGTGGTAGGTATTTCATACTGAACTTCATTTATTTCTTCTTTTCCTATAACTCTAAATGGATGTAAATCAGTTGGGTTAATAATATGAAAATGTGGTAAGAGGCTTTAAAAATTTTAAAGTTTAAAAAACAGCTCAAGAAATATAATTAATTTTGTCTTTTAAAAATAACATAATTTAAAATATTATTATTTATATTATTCTTTAAAAGATACAATTAGAAGCACTCAGTCGTTAAGCGTCTGCCTTCGGCTCAGGTCATGATCCCAGGGTCCTGGGATTGATTCCCGCATCGGGCTCCCTGCTCAGCGGGAAGCCTGTTTCTCCCTCTCTCACTCCCCTTGCTGTGTTCCCTCTCATTGTCTCTCTGTCAAATAAATAAAACCTTTAAAAAAATAAAATAAAAGATACAATTAATTATATTTCTTGACCAAGAAATTTTTTTTAATTAAGACATATATTAGGAGTGGGGAAAGAAATTAATCAGTTTCTATGATTTCTCTCAATATTTCTATTTTATATATTCAAAAGCATCATAAAATTTTTAATTGTAATTTCAGAAAAACAAGTAGTTCACATATGATAATATTATGTTTTGATTTTCAAGAAGAGAATTCAAGAAGTTAGTTTGGGAAAATACATTTTATTTTATCATTTTATTTATTTTTTTATAACAAGTTTGTGAATGTACACCAAAGACAGCCAGAGAAGATTATAGAGTAAGGGGATTCAGCATATATAGAAAGTCTGAAGTTGAAGAAATTATCTCCTTCTAACTCTAAAATTTTGTATCTTAAAGACTTGAATTATACAGGAATTCACTCCTTTTTTGTTTTACGGGAGCCTGTTTTCTTCAGTCAGTTTGGAACATTTATTCAAGGGAAAATACTCTCTTTATTAATCATCTCTATAATGCTACTGTTCATGGTTTTCCCCTTTTCAACAGCAAAAGTTTTAAATTACATAGACTCAATCCACCTGATTAGAATTGTCTTTTATTTTGTAGGAGTAGTTGACATCCAGGAATAGTAAATTTAGTGGTCTCTGAAAACTCTGTTCAATAGAAAAAGAATGTCTTTTGACATTTTTGTATTTAAAAGTATTTTCATTTCCTCTTAGCTTCATATCTTAATCTTTCACAGGAGTGTAATTAAAAAGAGGCTCTTGAAAATGGTGAGGATGTAATTACGTATTTTACTTTGGCACTGAGTCTCTTGGTTATTTTGAGCACTAGAATTATTTTATTTCTTGGGTAATATTAGTTCCTGAAAAAATGTCCCAAATTATATCCTGAATTGTAGACATTTGTGTCAGAATTCATATCTTTGGAGAATATGAAATGAAAACATCAGAAGTAAGTAGGAACTGCTTCTCTTTCCATGGCTTTGTTTTATTTTTGGTAATTAGCCTGATCGATAATGCCTCCTGAGGGATGTCCCATAGCAAAATATTTGATGATTGTCCCATTATCAGAATTTCTAAGAAATGAGTAAAGTCACAGTTTGTTCAATGATACTTGAAAGGTAGCCTAAAATGAGAAGTTAATGCCTTACTGTAAGATCTTAGGGATTTTTTTCCTTTTACTTCAAAAAATCAATAATGATGCATAGGAAAAAATAAAAGATTCTGAAATGTTATGAATGATTATTTTTTTCTAATTTCCCACCGTATTTTGGAATCAGAGAACAACCACTATTGAAGAGATTAATGAGATAATACAATAATTTGATTCTTATAATTACATACTATGTATAAATGAAATATATTGAAGAATTTGAAGATAACTTTGGTTCTTCCACATCAAAAATATCTGAGCTACATATAAACAAAGATGTGCAAAGAATAGCATACAGATTATCAGGGCCTCTCTGAAATCTGACCTCAAAAGACGTGTTTCAGACAAATATTTTCTGCAACATACTTTGGCATTATTTTGAGTCTATACCTCAGTTCTTCCCTCCTGGTTCCCTTTGTACTTTGTAAAGAGAAAATTAAAATCTTGTTAAATATGTCTAAATACATTTAAGAAGAGATCTTTTTTGATACTAAATCACCCCATATTTTCATATATACCCTCTAAATATGTGGTTTTTAAATAAAACACTTGACCCAGGAAAAGGATTCTTTAACTGATGTTGACAAAAATTGAGATATCTTTGTATGTGGTTCATGTATCAGAGATTAGTCAAAGAGAAGAATCAGGTTCCTGAATTAGCATGAAGAGAAGCTATTTCTCAATGTATGGTTCTATGCCTTAATTTCAGTAATTAAAAGAAATGAAAGTGTTAGTAACCCATGATCATTTTGTTGATACATATTAAAAACTGAAGTGAATAGAAATTTTTGAAATAATTTTAAGAAATCAAAATTATTTTAGATAATTCACTATTAAAGTATATATAAGTAAGATGCTAGTTTATTAATTTGCTAATTTTTACTAATATTTATTGATAGGATTTTGTTATCACTAACTTTTAAGCACATATTTACCTATCCCTGTATATATGCATAGAATACAGTATGTAAATCTAATTGCTGTAAGATTACTCAAATTTTAAATCTTGAGGTATAAAATTTCATAAATAAAATTTTGATGTTTCATAGAGTGATGTGAGCATATGCAGAATCAGACTATGTTTAAAAAACATAAACTGTGATTTCTGAAAATTCCTTTTTGTCCAGTACACATAGTCACTTATAAATTGAGCAATTTCTAAAATGCATATACTTTGGATTTTCTGTTACTTATAAAAAGGTATTTGCTTTAATCTGTGCAATTGATTTTTTTTTTTTTTTTGGTAGGACTGGAAGGAGAAGTATATAAACCGTGATTATTCAAAGATTTTCACTGAAAATATAGTTGAACAGGTTTGTATTAATAATTACTATGATGTGTAGAGCACTTTTGCCTTGTTTTCCAGAAGGGAACAATAGTAATGCAATATAGCTTTAGAAGAGGTTGTTGTGAAAGTGCAGAAACCATCTTTTAGGTAAAAATCATGTGGCTTAATTACAAATGTTACAGCCTTAAGGGTCATATAGTTGTAAAAATGTAGAACATGGGCTCGAACAATAATTTTAAGATCTTGCCCTTTTTATTAGCATGCTTCCAAATGTTGTAACTATCTCAAACCACGAAAAATAAGGAACCTTTGGCAAATCTCTAGTGTAGGCCTCATTTAGTAAGTTTATCTTTGAAAGAAATTGAACTTTAAGAGTCTCTTTTCAAAGATTTTTTTTTTAAAAATGAACTCTAGATTAGTGTTCCAAACTGTTGCTAATAGCTTATTTCAGAGAATGTAAGGCATCTTTGATTCTGAGATGCTGTTCTTTTGTGTACTGTGAGAAAGAATAAGAATACTGACAATTAAACTAAGACACAATGTTTTCTAGTCATTTAGAAATTTTTTATTTTGTACATATTGGAAAAGCTAATTTAGACTTATCAAGGTATAGATGTTATCGTATGTCATAGAGCACTGTATACATAATAACTTTCATTTCTTTTTTTTATTTTATTGTTATGTTAATCACCATATATTACATCATTAGTTTTTGATGTGGTGATCCAGTATCCATTGTTTGCGTATAACACCCAGTGCTCCATGCAGAACGTGCCCTCTTTAATACCCATCACCAGGCTAACCCATCTTCCCCACCCTCTCCCCTCTAGAACCCTCAGTTTGTTTCTCAGAGTCCATAGTCTCTCATGGTTCGTCTCCCCCTCCGATTTCCCCCCCTTCATTTTTCCCTTCCTGCTATCTTCTTCTTTTTTTTTTTTTTTTTAACATATAATGTATTATTTGTTTCAGAGGTACAGGTCTGTGATTCATCAGTCTTACACAATTCACAACACTCACCATAGCACATACCCTCCCCAATGTCTATCACCCAGCCACCCCATCCCTCCCACCCCCACCACTCCAGCAACCCTCAGTTTGTTTCCTGAGATTAAGAATTCTCATATCGTGAGATCATATGATACATCTCTTTCTCTGTTTGACTTATTTCACTCAACATAATACCCTCCAGTTCCATCCACGTCATTGCAAATGGCAAGATCTCTTTCCTTTTGATGGCTGCATAATATTCCATTGTATATATAAACCACATCTTTATCCATTCATCTGTCGATGGACATCTTGGCTCTTTCCACAGTTTGGCTATTGTGGACATTGCTGCTATAAACATCGGGGTGCACGTACCCCTTCGGATCCCTACATTTGTATCTTTGGGGTAAATACCCAGTAGTGCAATTGCTGGGTCGTAGGGTAGCTCTATTTTCAACTTTTTGAGGAACCTCCGTACTGTTTTCCAGAGTGGCTGCACCAGCTTGCATTCCCACCAAGAGTCGATGACAAATCGTAGTGTAAATTATTTAGAAAACATTTCAAAGGGCAAGTCAACTCAAGTGCAACACCAGCTACATGCGTGCGTGTATGTGCACACACACACAGATGTATACGTACACACAAGGTGAAGCAGAATGGAAATTTGCCAAGTATACACACACTGTAGCATTACAACTACATCATGGTGGCCCCCTGGCCAAATGTGAGTCTAAGATATGTCTTGATTTTATAGATGTTAAAATGCAAAAAAAAGAAAAAAAAGTCTTAGCATTAAAGAAAAGCTACTATTATTTGTAACAGTAATGTCAGTAATATTGGGCAAACCTCTTAAAAAGGCATCTAAATGAGATGAATATTGAGTATCCCATCCTGTTACTTTTGAAATGCCATTTATTACTTAAAAGATACAAACTATTATTCTCTTAATGGTGATGCCTTGTTTTATAGCCTTGTCCTGATGTCTTTTGGTTTCCCATCTTTTCTGAAAAAGCCTGTGATGAATTGGTGGAAGAAATGGAGCATTATGGCCAGTGGTCTGGGGGGAAACATCATGTAAGTGGTAATTTCACACAAGGAACTATAATGTGTATGTGGGATAGAAGCAGGGGTAGATATTTAGACAATTAAAGGGGATTATCTGTTTTGTCATGCATCTCTGACTCCTAAACTTAAATGCAGGGGCTAGCCAAGGCTGTCAGGAGCACTCTGGTAGCATTTAATCTATCTGGCCTCAGGTTCTCATTTATGTGTGTAATTACACTGGATGGTTTCTAAAGTCAGTGTCTCCAGGCTGGAATGGTAAGGTAATATATGTCTATTTATTCTGTGGTATTGGTCTTCCCCAGGGCCACTTTTTATTCTCTGCATTTTCACAGTGACCTATAATAGTGAAAGGACCCAAAGTTTATCTGGTTGACTGCCAAAGCTTTGTGTGTGTGTGTGTGTGTGTGTGTGTGTGTAAACATTGGCAGAAGAAATCTGTTTGAATGCCATTGGTGTAATTCAGTTTTGCATTTATATTCAGTGTCAAAGACTTGGCAGGAAGTATTGCTGTTGGTGGTTCAATGTGTTTCTTTTCCTTGGAGAATCCACAGATGCCTGCTCTTAGGGGAATACTCTGGAATATTACTGTCTCTGCTCAATTTCATACCCCAGCTAGTTAGCTGACCAGAGAGACAGAAGTTCAAAGTATGAGGAAGAACTTGAAGTCAGCAGGTTGTAGGATCATAAAAAGCAATCATGGAAGGACTTTGGGTATCGTAAATTTCAAGTGGGGAACATAGCAGGGAAAGCTTGTTTTCAGTGGTAGGGGATCCAAAGGGCAGACAAGCAGAATCTTTGTCCGTCAAGTAGCTAAGACTGCCTGGAGGGTTACTGTAAAACACCAGTTTTTTAGGAGGCATGGGGGGGCTTTGGAAATACGTTTTATTTACTTTATAGAGACCTCACATATATATTAAATAAGTAAGAAAAGAGTCTGATACTTTGCTGCATCCTTGATGCATGTTATCTAAGTTATTTTGAGTTTTGCAATTAAAGCAGATGGTACACCATGATTGAACAACGGTTATTTTTATTGTCTATTATGATCTTGTGGTTGAAAAAAATTCCAACGTAATATAAATGTGAATTACATGTGGACCACACTTTATGACATCATTAATGCTGTTTCTAGGATAGCCGTATATCTGGTGGTTATGAAAATGTCCCAACTGATGATATCCACATGAAGCAAATTGATCTGGAGAATGTATGGCTTCATTTTATCCGGGAGTTTATTGCACCTGTTACACTGAAGGTCTTTGCAGGTTATTATACGAAGGTAGTTATCCTCCCATTCCCCCTGTCCACCTCCTACTAGTTTTTACACAAATGTGCTATTTTACATTTTTATTGATAAGCAAATCCATTGGTGTACTTTGCGTTTTTAGGGGTTTGCTCTATTGAATTTTGTAGTAAAATACTCCCCTGAAAGACAGCGCTCTCTTCGCCCTCATCATGACGCTTCTACATTTACCATCAACATTGCACTCAATAACGTGGGAGAAGATTTTCAGGTAATTACGGCTTTGATTTTTCACACCCTGTAAAAGAAATATGTCATTACGATTTTTAATTTTTTTAGATTTTTTTAGATTTGCCTTTTTTTTTAAGATTCTGGTTAGATGACATAATTTGAATTTTCCCACTGATTAAAAATTAAACATAATAAGCTGATATATTCATTTGTTCCATCTCTTTTAGGGAGGTGGATGCAAATTTCTAAGGTACAATTGCTCTATTGAATCACCCAGAAAAGGCTGGAGCTTCATGCATCCAGGGAGACTCACACATTTGCATGAAGGACTTCCTGTTAAAAATGGAACGAGATACATTGCAGTGTCATTTATAGACCCCTAAGTTATTTACTTTTCATTGAATTGAATCTTCTTTTGGAACGGACGAACATGTCTTTGAAGTTGTGCTTGAGAAGATGAGAGGAATATTTAAATAACTTCAACAGAACAACTTCACTTTGGGCCAAACATTTGAAAAACTTTTTGTAAAAAATTGTTTGATACTTCTTAATGTCTGCTCTGAGCCTTAAAACACAGATTGAAGAAGAAAAGAAAGAAAAAGTAAAAGCAAATATTTATTTCTATGCCTTATTTTCTCTGAGAATAATGACAGTTTTCTGAATTTGTGTTTCAATTGATAAAATATTCAGCTATAAATGTACAAGTGACAAGAGACTAATAATATTTTATTAAAAAAGCATGGGAAGAATTTTATTTATTAACATGTAAACAAAATGAATATAAGTGAAAATTGATAATTTTTGAAACATTGGAAAACTGGAGTTATAACTAAATTTGTATGCAACTAATTGTGTAAGTACTTTTTTTTATGACCTATACAGGTACCTTTTATAGTAGTTACTGAAGGAATACAAAGAACAGTAAATATTACACAATGTTTTTCCTCAAGAAACTTAGTACAGAATACAACTGAGGTTTAGAGCCAGTTGAAAACATTTTTGTTTAGATTGTTAGACAGATTTTGTTTTGTTACATTTGTATTAGAAATCAAACCCTATATTCCTTCAGATTAATTTTCCAAGGTGGACTATATTGAGTAGGTATTAGATTTAGGAAAGTTTTCAAGCCTTTCCATTTTGTGAAGTATATCAAATATCAACTTAAGATCAGCAAGTGTCCTTGAGTCAAAACAGGCTTTTGATTTTAATTCTAGAAAATAATGAGGAAAAAGAAAATTTCATGAGATTAGTAGTAGCATTTTATGATTTTTAAAAAACTTGGTTAAGTACTTGAATTTTATATCAGGAAAATAAAGTTGGTGAGCCTTTCTTCTTCTCTTTGCCCTTTGTCTCCTTCTTATTCTTTTTTAGAGAAGGTTATTTACCTTTTTGTCTTTCCAGCATAGTCTCCATTTTATCCTTCCTATTCTTTTTGTTACCTTTTCTTAATCCCATTTTTAAAAAATTCCCCAGCACAAAAAATTTGTGACTTGATTTTTCACCATTTCTCTGAGTGAGGTTTAAATATACTTATTACAGCTACTGTTTTTAATTTAAAGGTTAAACTTGAAATAAAGTTGTAAGTCATGGTGCCAAAATTCACTTTTCTAACACCATGTGTTAGAAAATTATGAAAAATAAAATAATTAAAATAAGTTTCTGTTGGCCTCTTTATTACTTGGTGATTTATCTTTAGAAGAGAATGTATGATGGAGTATCCTAAAGCAATATCTGGATGTAATAGGCTATGATTTTTTCATTTTGATTGCTATATTTACTGATGATATTATAACTTAATGAAAACTCTACTTACTGAATTATGAATTGCATTGTATTATCTTCAATTTCATAATGACTGGGGATTGATCTAATTTATTTTACAAGTGAAGAAATACAGACAAACATTTATTCAATATATATTTATCTATTCAGTGGTATATTTATTTATTTATTGACTCTTCAGATCACATTTATTAGGGGGATGATTTTTTTTTAATTATGTTCAATTAGCCAGCATATAGTACATCATTAGTTTTTGATGTAGTGTACCATGATTCGTTAGTTGCGTATAACACCCAGTGCTCATCACAATGCGTGCCCTCCTTAATACCCATCACCCAGCTACCCCATTCCCCCCACCGCCCCTCTCTTCTGTAACTCTGTTCGTTTCCTGGAGTCCAGAGTCTCTCATGGTTTGTCTCCCCCTCTGATTTCTTCCCATTCAGTTTTCCCTCCCTTCCCCTGTGGTCCTCCACACTATTCCTTATGTTCCACATATGAGTGAAACCATATGATAATTGTCTTTCTCTGCTTGACTTATTTCAATTAGCATAATCCCCTCCAGTTCCATCCATGTCGATGCAAATGGTGGGTATTCAACCTTTCTGATGGCTGAGTAATATTCCATTGTATGTATGTATTCAGTGGTGTTTTTCAAGTCCCTACTATGGGCCATGCAGTGTTCTAGGCCCTGAGGAGATAGTGATGATCAAGATTATAATCACTGGAAGATGGACTTAGGAAATAAGGAAGTTGGGTTCTACCTCTTTTCTCTTCTTTGGTGGCACTTAATACTCGAAGTAAATTCCTACAGCCCATCAACTTTGTTGAAGAGACATGTTATTAATTATTTCTGAATTACATTACAATACTTCAGGGATGGTATTCTAAATATGTAACAACTGGTATGTCGTGGATACCAGCCAATCAGAGCAGACTCTGGTTATAAACTGTTAACAGAGTGCAAGCAGCATAATGTCCCTTGTGATACACTTCAGAAGAAAGACATCTGCTAGATCCTAGTTCTTTTCAGTTGTGGTTCACATGCGTGGCAACCTATAGTAACTATTTTAATCTCATGCTATGTTTTCAGAAACTGGATCAAGGCAGTCAGTAGCATTTTCTATCTTCCCTCTTGTCCCAAGTTTCATGAAATTATATGAAATGTACTTTTAAAAAGAACAATTCATAATTAGTGAGGAAAAGTGTGAAAATTCCCGTAAGTAGATCAGCAAATTGGAAAGATGGAAAATAGGTAGGATTGGATGCATGGAGAACACTCAGCTCTGTCAACCACCAATCTGTTCTTCTGTTTCTGTGAGTTCATTTTTTTAGATTGCACATGTAAGTGATATGCAGTGTTTGTCTTTCTCTGTCTAACTTATTTCACTTAGCATAATGCCCTCAAGGCTTGTTCATGCTGTCACAAATTGTAGTATTTCCTTCCTTTTTAAGATTGAATAATATTCCCTTGTATATATACCACAATTTCTTTATGCATTCATCCACCTGTGAACACTTAGGTTGTTTCCATGTCTTGGCTATTATAAATCACGCTGCTACAGTGAACATGAGGATGCAGATTGTTTTTTGAGATAATGATTTTCTTTCAGATACACTCCCAGAATTGGAATTGCTAGATCATATCCTTGCTATTTTTAGTGCTTTATGGAAGTGAAATCTTTTACTCTGAATATATATTTGTGTATTGTTTAATATAAAGAACAAACAGTAGAAAGAAAAGGGGGGGAATTCCCATAACTAATTTAATTTGAATAAATGGAAGTATATTGATGTCAATAGTAACTATTTGTGTTTATGCATACATGTTTGTGTGTGTGTGTGTGTATACATGTATTCCCAGAGAGCTTTAAATGCTCATATTGGTGGCTTTTTTCCTAATTCTAAATGTGCATAGGAATTAATGTGAATATTTTTCCTTAATACAGATACTTTACCATAGCACAAACCCTCCCCAACATAACATAATAATTAAAAAAAAAAAAAAGGAAAAAAATACAGATACTTTAGTAGTAGTTCAGTATATTAATTTTCTTGATTCTGGTTCATTTTTTAAAAACACTAATAATTTACTTGCATTGGTAACTAACCGAAGAGATCAAATACCCCTTCACAGAATTAAAATAAGGAAAACTATTACCATATGGATTGAGTCCCTTCTGTCCATCCTAATAACAATCTCTTTATATATTCCTTCACTCCTATTTTCTTGTCTGTCATCTGCACTTACTAATTTCTCTGCTTGCTAAGCCCTACAGTCCATCTTGTATGACATATTGGGGGCCTGTCATTGATTTGGAATATGGAGTGGTCTATTCAACAGATCTCTTCGAGTTGCAGGGAAAGCCAAATACAATTTTTAGTCACAGTTGAGAGTCGGTCTCAGCAAATAGCCCTCTTTGACTAGATGTTGACTATTTTGGAAAATTAAAGTCCTTAAGACTTCATGAAAGCAGCCTTTGTCAAACAGCGCTGTTTATCTGTGGTCTTTCAGAATAGCAAGCTACAGACTTCTTTTAGAATAACTCTTATTAAGAAAAAGCCCTTGGGGTGAAAAAAGGGGAAAATGTATAAAACTCTTTAATGATAGCAATGAATTTTGGATGAAATTTGAAGAGAAATACAAATAAGTAATGGAAAGAGTAGAAAACTACATGTAGACTTGTTTTAAAATGTGAAGTACAGTATAGCTTAATTATTCTAATAAAAGGAACTAGAAAAATTGGAAAGATGAGTATACATGCTAGGGATGTGTGGACTTTATAAATCTAAACTTTTCCTGACAGCTTTCTTTTAAGAATTAAATTATATTTTTGCATCATGGTTAATATATTAAAATAGATTATGTGGGGGGCACCTGGGTGGCTCAATCAGTTAAGCCGTTGTCTTCCCCTCCGGTCTTGATCTCTGGGTCCTGGGACCTTGTTGGGCTCGTTGCTCAGTGGGGAGCCTGCTTCTCCCTCTGCCTCTGCCTGTCGCACCCCCGGCTTGTGCTCTCTCACTTGTGCGTTCTCTCTCTCTCTCATAGATAAATAAAATCTTAAAAAAAAAAAAAAAAAAACATGTGAAAAGTAGCTTCTTTGCTGATTTTTGAGGTGGTGGTGTTTGTTTAATAAATCAAGTAACTGATTATTTTGGCATGCTGTTGTGTCTCTACTGAAAAATGGTTAACTAAGAAATCTGAATTTTTATAATCTTTTGAAAATTAGAAAGGAATTTTGGCCTATTTAACAATACAAAACACACAAGTAATCAACTTAAAGAAGTTTTAACAGATGAAATGGAAAGATCATGCATGCCATAAATAACATAAAGAAAATACGGTTTCGGGCGCCTGGGTGGCTCAGTTGGTTGAGCGACTGCCTTTGGCTCAGGTCATAATCCTGGAGTCCCGGGATCGAGTCCCGCATCGGGCTCCCTGCTCCTCGGGGAGTCTGCTTCTCCCTCTGACCCTCTTCCTCTTGTGCTCTCTATCTCTCATTATCTCTCTCTCAAATAAATAAAATCTTAAAAATCTTAAAAAAAAAAAAAAAAAGAAAATACGGTTTCTTTCAAATCATCCTTACCCCAAAGTAATTACAGTTGGCCCTTGAACAATGCAGAGGTTATGGGCACCCAGACCACCCTCCCACTCCCACTCCCCGCACAGTCAAAAACGTGTGTATAACTTTTGACTCTCCCCAAGTTTATAAATAGCCTCCTGTTGATTGGAAGCCTTACTGATAATAAAAAGTCTAACACATATTTTTTGTTATATGTATTATGTACTCTATTCTTACAATAGGTAAGCTAAAGAAAATAAAATGTTAAGAGAATCAGAAGGAAAAGAAAATACCTTTACAGTACTGTATGGAAAAAAACTCACAAAGTGTATACGTGCAGTTCAAACCCGTGTTGCTCAAGGGTCAACTATATTAGATTACAAAAAAATAATCAAGGGATAGAACAGGAGAGAAAAATTTCATGTAGATTTGTGATGAGGAATGAACTTCTCTGTGCTTATACAATAATTTTAAAAGTATTTCTAAAAGACATCTTTCTTAACACTGATTTAAGTTCAGTAACTTTTAAAAATGCAGTGTGAAATGGTAACAAGAATCCTTAAAGAAATCACATCGTTATATATATAATTTTGCATCAACACAGGAGAATTTTTCATTTGAAAAAGCTCAGTAACTTCCAAGTGAGAAATGGACAAATTACAGTGTGATTTTTTTTTCTTTGCTGAGCACTAGTGATTAGACAATCGATTAATTGAAAATATATAATATTTGAAACATGAGATTATCTTATCAAACTTTGTTTTATTAAATTATTTTAATCTGTGTTTAGTTTATATATTTTATAAATCTTGCCAAATTGTGACATCACAGCCCCATCTTGTGGTCAATGTAGATAACTAGTAGGGTCTAAATTTGAAACAAAGCAGGAACCTTCATTTTTTTTTTAATTTATGCTTTCAAAATTTTTCTTAAAGGCTAATATGAATAAAAATGATAACATTGGATGATTTTGAATGGTAATTTCCTATTTATTTTGGTAACATGATACAATATTTTAAAAGAAAGAATTAGATACCTTATTCTGAAATAAGGGATAGCTAGCATTATTTTCAGTTAGTACCGAGGAAATAATTTGCTTTCTGCTTTTTTAAGATTTTATTTATTTATTTGAGAGAGTGCATGTGTAAGAGAGAGAGTGTATATGAGCAGGGAAAGGGAGTGAGAGAGGAGGGGGAGAGGCAGGGGGAGAAGCAGATTCCCTGGGGGCTTAAGTTTGGTGCTTAAGGGGAATTCCAGGCAGGGGCTAGATCCCAGAACTCTGGGATCATGACCTGAGCCAAAGGCAGCTGCTTAACCAACTGAGCCACCCAGGTGTCCCTATTTGTTTTCTATTCTTTTACCTACTTTGTAAACTGCTAATCTATGTTCACTAGGAAATATGGGCCTAGACTAATAATAAAATCAGTGTAGAAGTGGTCAGACTCAACTACAACTGATACAGTAGTTGATTTTGAGTAGACCAAATAACTTACATTAGGACAGTTCCAGAGAGTTTAATTGTAAAAATAAATATGTTTTTAAAAACTGCATGGTGGGCAAAGATAAATCACAATGATTTTTTTCTTCATAATCAGCAAAGGGCTAATAAGTGCAGCAACAAGGGGGCACTTGAGTGGCTCAGTCATTTAGCGTCTGCCTTCGGCTCAGGTCATGATCCCAGGGTCCTGGCATCGAGTCCCACATCGGGCTCCCTGCTCGGCGGGAAGCCTGCTTCTCCCTCTCCCACTCCCCCTGCTTGTGTTCCCTCTCTCGCTCTGTCTCTCTCTGTCAAATAAATAAATAAAATCTTTAAAAAAAAGTGCAGCAACGAGGACAGGATTCCTGTGGTACAAAAATTGAATGATTCAGACAAATTTTGAAAGTTAATAATCTCTGTTTTGGCTTTTTGAGGATTAATGAAATGTGTTCCTGCGGAAGTTGTTGACAGGAAGTGTACTAAAATAGTGCTCATTTACTCCAGCTTTCCTGTATTCAAATGTTGACCACACATCTTCTTGATCTCCTTTCCTTCCATTGGGTCACCCTGTGCCCTGGCTGCTTGACTGAATTCAGGTGCTCTTCCTCTAACTCCAGAGGGACTCCGTTAATTTTCACATTGCCCCAAGACAGCTTCCCTGTTGATCTTCTGTGAGCTAAGAGGAAATTAAAAAAAAAATATATATATATATGTATTATTGAAACCTAAATGATTTGGTGCCTGTGATAGCAAGTCTCCAAAGGTGTTCATCAGTGAGCCACACTTCCAGGACTCATACCTTTGTCCTGTTCCCTCCCACGTTGAACCTGAGTGGGTCTTCTGTGAAGCAGCTCTGCATATTGCAAGTTGTCATGAGAGACCTTGTGGCTTTGCTGTCTTGGAATATTCATTCTTAGGACACTCCCTCTCGAATCCAGGTGCCATTCTGTGGAAAGCCCGTACCACATGGAGAGGCCACGTACAAGCACTCTAGCTGACAGCTGTAGCTGGGTTCCTGTATGGTTTGGCACCACACCAGTGAATTACTTGGATATAATGAGCCCAGTCGCATCTTCAGATGGCTATTGTCTGCATGGTTGACTTCCTATTGTAACCACATGTGAGTCCCCAAGAAAAATCCACCCGTTAAGCCCGGTCAACCCGCAGAACCATGAGAAACATAGATAACCTTGTTTTAAGTCACTAAGTTCTGTGTAGTTTGTCACAAAGCTGCAAATAACTGAAACACGGATAAGCGCCTATCTTGCCTCTCTAATTGGGCCTGCTTTTCTGAGCACTTAACACACTGCATTGTTTATTTACCTTTAATTTTTCTCAGTAAAGCCACAAGCAATTTGAGGAAAGGGATTGGGCCTTATTTAGTCTTTTCTGTTTTAGACCCTAGCATACAGCCTGGCATATAGTATGCACTTATGTGTGAATAAGTAATGGAGAGTTGGTTTTATTGCATTTGAATCAAAATGATCCCTGAAGGGAAGGGAGTTTTGAATTTAACAGATAGACCAAAAATAAAAATAAATCTGTTTTTAATAATGTGTACTTTGGTTTTGATGTGTGAGGTAAAGACTTGAGAAAGATTGTACAAGTTTGTTCCTGAATAAAGGGATATGTAGGAGGCCTCAAGTTGGATAGAGTGATATACTACGATGTTGTAAAAATAAACTGGTATCATTGTTATTCTCAGCATTTTATGCTGAAGGACTGAGACAGGGAGTGATCAATTTACGAGTAACCTCTTTAGTGGCTATATGTGTATTAGACTTTCAATAAATATTTTGAATTGCATGAATTCGGTTTTACCTATCTTAAAGCAGTTTTCAACAAAATGCCTTAAAAAGCATTATGCTTATATAGCGACTAAAACTCCGTATTTTATCATCCCACTTTAAACTGAAAAATATAAAATAGGAAAAGGAAAAGCAGTGCATTTTGAAACTCCAAGGAGAGTGTGGCCTTGATGTGCATTTTTGTTGGAACTACAGTTGTTACCATGGTTACAGATTGCATTGCTGTTGGGTGTGGCTCATTGATTTTGACCAAGCATGATTTTATTTTATTTTTTTAAAGATTTTATTTATCCATTCATGAGAGACAGAGAGAGAGATGCAGAGGCAGAGGGAGAAGCAGGCTCCCCGTGGAGCAGGGAGCCCGATGCAGGACTCGATCCCAGGACCCTGGGATCATGACCTGAGCCCAAGGCAGACGCTTAACCGACTGAGCCACCCAGGCGTCCCGACCAAGCGTGATTTTAATATCTATTCAGTGTGGTCCTAGAAATGTGATGAACAATGGCATTAAAACTTTATAATTTCAGGGCGCCTGGGTGGCTCAGTTGGTTAAGCGACTGCCTTCGGCTTAGGTCATGATCCTGGAGTCCCGGGATCGAGTCCCACATCGGGCTCCTTGCTCGGCGGGGAGTCTGCTTCTCCCTCTGCCCTTCCCCCCTCTCATGCTCTCTCTCTCTAATAAATAAATAAATAAATCTTAAAAAAAAAAAAACTTTATCATTTCAGAGGTATGGACCTGTATGAATCTGATAAAAAAAGGAATGAATTGTTTAGGAGAGTTGTGGTGGAGATTATGTCAGAAAAATCCAGAACTTAGAAACTTCTTGACTGCATGTAACTAATAGTTTGAATAAAGCAGACTTGGGGAGCAGTATTTTTATACAAATATGGAGGAGATATTTTTAACTACTTAAAATTTGTTAAGGATTGGGACGCCTGGGTGACTCAGTGGGTTAAGTGTCTTCCTTCGGCTCAGGTCATGATCCCAGAGCCCTGGGATTGAGCCCCGCAGGGGGCTCCCTGCTCTGCAGGGAGCCTGCTTCTCCCTCTCCCACTCTTCCTGCTTGTGTGCTCTCTCTCTCTCTTTCTGACAAATAAAATCTTTTAAAAAATTGGTTAAGGATTTGGCAGATCTGAGACATGTAAAAGGTAACAGTGAATTCAAATGTGTAAAGACTTGGGAGAGAGCAATGATATTCAGGAGTTATAATCAATCTAATTATATTTCAAAACA